ATTTCTAGCGCTTCCCAGAAGAAGGAACTAACCCCAACATGCCCAGTTCATTCTTCCCAAATGTACGATTCATGGCCCCTCCTGCTCCTGGTGGCGGGACTGCGAGGATGAAGAGAGGCCGGGGTGTGATGCTGACGGTGGGCTCGCCACGTCGCGGGAGACCCCGAGAACAGGACAGCATTCAGAGTGTGTGTGCTCCCAGGGCGGGGGCTTGTCCGCTGAGCAAACAAATGCAGACCTCGAGGTGTTGGGGGGGTGGAGTCTGTGCTTCGGCACAGCTCCTGGGATCCCCACGTGCCCGCTGCCCTCGGCTCTTGAAAATGACTGGTCCTATCTTCCTGACAGCTGCCTCCGAAGGCTGTTCCCAGAGCTTAGCCGCATCTCAGACGGCCCTCGTGACCTTCAAACATTTCCGGCAAGCTGCAGTCAGACCCTCTTCTCGGACGGCCTGCGGGATTCTAAAACCCCTGATTCCCAAAGTGACCCCAATGCTCTCACTGTCCACTTTGCTCCTGGAGTTTCCGCCAAATGTCTGCCTCTTCGGTGAAGGCTTCCCCACCCTGGAGGCGGCAACGATCACACTGTATCGCCTTTATGCTTACCCTTCTCCCGCTCCTGCCTGTGAACTACGAGAGGTCTTTTTGCCTCCCTACCTCCAGTGGCCAGGCCAACACCTGGCACATGACAGGCACCCAGTGGGTGGTTACTAAAATGGATGAAAATGAGCCAATAGGCAGGTGGGCCTGGCTTGGCTTCCAAGTCATGGGGATTTCTGCATACGGATTGAAGTTCTCCTTCGGCAAGTACTCGTATTTTCCTGCGGCCATCAAAGAAACGGATATTGCCATTTGCAGCGCCTCTCTGAATTATGGTATAATTATTATTCTGGGAGGTGATTTCACTGCCGCAATTTAAAAAGGTTCTGGCTGGGAAGATGGTCACGGTTGCAATTGCACTGGACCCCACTGGGTGTCGCTGTTGTCACTGCCACGAGAAAATGAAGGCCCTATTGTGGAGTCCCGGGGCCTTCTGGCTTACAGGTTGAGTCTGGCTCCTTTTTGACTTCCCTTCCCAAACACGCTACCAACTCCTGATTTGGTACGTCTACATTTGGGTTTCCTTTGAACCTCCAAATCTCAAGCCTTGGGGAAAGGCAAGGGAACTGCCCATCCTACTGTAGCCCAAACCCCTTTTGCTCTCAAGTTCTCTATTTGTTCTAGCCAGTAGAGATTAGAGAACAGCTGATCACCTTTAAGTCTGGAACTCCTTACTTTAAATCAGTTGAATTCCTCATGTTCCCTTTATAAATACAGGCAGGAGAAACCTCCCACCCTTTCCTCCTGGGCTTCCAGGTTCTTAATCCCCTGCCAGGGTTCCTTCTCGGACCCTCCTCCCAGGCCTACAGCACAGTCCCTTTTTCTAGAGACCACAGTTGAGGACACGGTCTGACAGCTGCTCAGAGGGAGAGGCTGAGAGGAGCTCGGGAAGCCTGGGGCTTACTCTGGTCCTCTATTTGGCTGCCTAAACGTCTTCTCATTCTGTGCCTTCATTTCCCCAGTGCCTGGCCAGCTCCAGGTGTTCCAAAGACCAGTGTCTCAACGTGGGGGGATGATGGAGGTGACTGTCCCCTTTTTTTATGCCTCAGGGTTGTTTCGTTGTCTTTTCAATACTAAAGGATGAAGTGCTAGGAAAAGCTCTAAGGGGGTGATAATGCAAGGACAGGGCTACATTTCCCCCCTTCATGAGAATTTAACCGTATTCCACAGGTCTCATCAGTCTTCTTCCACCTAGCCCCGGAGAACACATTCTCCGCTTTCTTGTAGTCTCTGGCTGTTTTGTCTTGTTCAACTAACTGTGGCTTATTTTCTATTCGTTTTCTCCATCATCTAATTTAAAGTTTTCCTCCAAGCAGTCCACCTGAGGGAAATCGTCCACAAAAGAAGGCAAGGTACACACGCTAGTGTATGGAGCCCTATTCTGAGCCAGGCCCGGCGCAGCCCCTTTCCCTATACCGTCCCCCCAGAGCTCCTCTCAGCCCCACGTGAGGCCTCGGGGCCCGGTGAGGAACAGGGTAGGGGCCCAGCCCTCCCCGACTCCAGGACCCCCTCCAGCAGGCGCACTTGAAGGCGCAGCGTGAACACAGTCTCCCCCACCCGAGGGCTCCACGGAACACACTGCAGGACCTTCCAGAGCCCTCTTCCTGCCTCACTGTGTAACCGGATGAACTCCCCGATACCCTAGAACTTGACAGGCCACATTCTCTGAATGATGGAAAGGTTGGGTTTCTTTTGTTTTGTTTTTAATTCTGCAGCTTATTCCGAGGAGCCAAGAGGACTTAATTTTAAAAATTGTCTTGTTAAAAATGAATAAGTGTGTTTACATATTTGCTCAAAAGCTCAGTCCTCTCAGAAAGGCAGAAAATAAAGTAAAAGAGCAATGACTGGGGAGCTCAAGCTCCTTTGGAAGCTGTCACCTGTCCTCCCTGCAGACTCTGCCCCTTGAGAGGAGCCCGGCCACGGGGGAGGCAGGGTCTCCACGGTGCTCCGCGGCCCCACGCAGCTCTCTTCTGCAGACGGTGACCTGGTGACCAGATCCCAGCGAAGATGTGGGGGTCCTCGGAGTTCCCCTGGTCCGAGGAGTGTGTGCATTTTCACAGGAAGAGGCTGCTGATGAGAGACTCAGATGAGACACTTTCTGGCGGCCGGGGCAGGGGAGCCCCTTCCCAGCGTCCGCTCGCCCCTCCTAGGTGACCCATCCTCTGCCAGAGCTCGCCCACCCCCTGGCCCTCGTGGGGAAGGGACGGGGGACGGGGGTGACAACCGCTCTGTCAGGTTGACAGGCCAGGGAGGGGTGCTCCAGACCCTCTTCATGCTTAGTCATTCCGAGGCTCTGTGGACGTGTGACCTTCGTCCCACCTGGGTTCCCGGGCCTCTGCTCCTGCAGCCCTTCTCTCAGGACGCCGCTGGCGAGCTGACACTGTCTTGCTGTTATTGTTCTTATAAACTTAGGAGGAAATCGAATGTTTTCTTGAATCTATGGTTTTATCAGAAGTGGGGAAATGAAAGGCCTCGAATGTCACTTTAAAAATTAGAGAAAGTGGGCACCTGGCTGGCTCAGTGGGTTAAGCCTCTGCCTTTGGCTCAGGTAATGGTCTCAGGGTCCTGGGATGGAGCCCTGTATCGGGCTCTCTGCTCAGCAGGGAGCCTGCTTCCCCCTCTCTCTCTGCCTGCTTCTCTGCCTACTTGTGATCTCTGTCTGTCAAATAAATAAATAAAAATCTTAAAAAAAAAAAAATCAGAGAAAGCACATTTCCTTGTGGAGATGAAGAACTTTTCACACCTGGTCAGTGTCCCTCATCCCTGTCACCTTTCTGGCTCCAGAAGGAAATGGGGCTTGTGAGCCCTGCTGCGGAGGCTGGAGGAGCTCTGGCTTCCGAAGCTCCAAGAGGGTGTATGGGTTGGGGGGAGGGGGATAGCTGCTTGAGCCAAGAAGAAAGACTAAGTGCATTTTTCTGCTAGGCCCTTAGCCCTGAACTCGTGAACTGACTGCCTCCCCACTGTCCTCCCAAGAGGCTAAGTTCAGAGTCAACTGGGAGAGGCCGAGCACAGAAGTGTGATACATTTTTAAACAAAAATTCCATCCCGGGACACACCCTCTTGTCAGGTTTCTGCTGAAGAGCCAGCGTGTGTGCGTGTGTGCTAACAGGAGGGGACTGCAGCACGCTGGCTGTGTCCCTCATTGCTTTCTTCTCCTGCTCATGTGTATTAGTGTGCAAACATATAATAGTAGTAAAATAAGAAAGTTATTTGAAAAATAGAAGTAAACACATTATGTAACTCTTATTTTTATGGAAACTGAAAAACCTATAGATACTTAGAAAAAGACTTCAGAGGCAAACTTTTGAGGGGCATTTTTTTATTATAAATTTAATGTGGTTGATTAATGAAAAATCACAATGAAGTACCAAGAAAACGTTTGTCAATATAAAAATTTTAGCAGCATTTCCATAGTTTCAGGCTCTAACATTAGTCACACTTCCTCCCTCCCGCTACCAAAAAAAGAATCCAAGGGGACTACAGTAGAGCATCAAGATGTTCAGCTTAGTAAAGGCCTCAAGGAAATCCTCAAATCCAGTGTATCGTCTAATATTTCAACTCTCCCTGCTCCTGAATTTCTAGAATGTTGTATCATTCGCCTTAGTGTTTGAGACAAGAATTCTGTTCCTCAGGCTGCGAGGGGAGAAGAGGGGTGAAAATTTAAACTGGACTTGATATGTGGTGCTGGAACACGCATCCTTACGTACATACACTCTCTACACGGACGACGACAAAGGGCCACTGCGGGGTTCACCAGTGTCTGGCATGTGGTGGCAGTGGGGGGGTAGAGGAGCGGGGGTGGGGGGAGGGGAGGGCTGGTGCTTCACCATCTGCGCTGTGAGGGGCAGGCCAGGGCCCGGCGGCCTCCCTCCAGCACAGGCTAACGGTAGGATTAATGAGAAGGGGAGACAGGCAATATGAAAATAGAATACTGGCAAACTATTCCCCTGCTTCTTTGGTACTTTCCAAAATTCTCTGATCAAAAAAGTATAGGGAAGCACACCATTAAAAAATTACAGTTTGAAGTATTTACAGAAGCGATTATGATATATTACAGAACCAATACACAGTATATGAACAGATTCCTCAGTGAGAGCCCTCGTGAACCCCCACCCCAGCATCAAGAGCACACTTGCGGATGCACACCTGCCCAAATGTGCACCAGCCATCCCGATTCACGCTTGTCTTACAGTCTGTTCAACGGGGGAATCACCCCTTTCCAATCTACACTTTCCTTTGAAAAGGTTCTTGAAATTGGCCACTGAAATCACGATGTACAAGGATTTGTTGAATACTGGGTCCTAGGCAATACAGCTCCACTCCCATTTTGAGTATGTTGGAGATAATGCTGTCTAGTCTACGTACACACTATGCAGCGGACAGGGAAGTAACCGCACCACGTCGTGTCACCACGATACCAGTTTAATGCACGTGACTCTGTACAGTAGTTAAGTTAGCTCTGGAGGGGGACTCTACAGTGTAGGTGAACAGTGTGGTTTGGAACCCTAGGAAAGGGACGCGGAGAAGCTGGGGGTGGGGGTGGGCAGCCTGCGCATGGGCAGGACGCGTGCCATGTGCCACCCCTACGTGCCCACCCCAGACCACCCTATGTGCGTGGCGTGGAAGAAGACACAAATCACACGTAGGGGAGGATCCCGTACATGAGGAGGGCCATGATAGCAGCGCTGAACAAGCCAGCCACGGGCACAGTCACAAACCAGGCCACAAAGATATTCCGGAAGAGACGCCAGTCCACGGCCTTCCGGGAGCGGATCCAGCCCACGGCCACCACCGAGCCCACCTGTGGGAGCACAGACATTCAAAGGTGAAAACGGAGGCCCGCGAATTTAAGGGTGAGGCACAGACTCTACAGTCAAGCCATGGAAAGCGGCTAATCTCAGAAGTACACTGCAGTATAAAACTACCAATTCTTGCCTCTTGATTTGTTCAAAGCTTTTAAAATAATTAAGATTTTAGGTATAATTACTTTCGGATGATTCTACTCTGCACACAGTTCTGACACACTTCGCCTATAATCTGTTCCATCTGAGTGGAACCTTAGACAAGTGTGTGTCTCCCCTTCTCTCTGCACCTTATAAACTAACTTCACTTCAATATTCCGCAGGCGGGCTATGGTGGACCACAGCATATGATCCTGCTTTGATCGGGCCATGCGACGGCGACAACGTACCCTTTCCCTCGCAAAAGCAGCATCGGGAGTGTCGGAGCTGGAGAAGACCTCTGAGAATGTCCAATCCACATGGTTCGTTTTACAGAGGCTAAAACAGATCCCGAGGGGCCCCGGGGCCCGGGAGAACTGCTGCAGCCCGAGGACAGAACTCAGACCTCTTGATTTTAAACTGGTTTTCTCCTCTATCTCAAGCTGCCTGGCCATCTTTTTACCTTCGCTAGTGTGAAGGGAAGTAAACAAGCAAATGGCAAAGTAAAATAAAGTAAGACAAAGCGGAACATACCCATTATTGGATCGGGGCTGTCACTCGTGCCTCACAAAACAACAGGTACAGATATTGGGAAATCACAATGTTAATACGGATTCAAAGCTTTTTCGAAACACTCACCGTTCATCTTGATGGTTTGTTGAAAGTTTAAAAAGGAAAAAAGACTCAACTTTAAGTATCCTAAAAATGAAAAAGTACAATTCCCATAATATCTCATGCCTCACTTGCTCTGGTGGGGCGTGGAGTTGGACAGAATGCCCATTTGTGAGCTGGGTTTTTCCATAAAATAGGCTTTGTTTCCACTGACCCTCAAATACTCCAGAGCCGTCAGGGGCCAATGCTGTTCAAATAGCAACCAGGTCTAACCACAGGAAAAATAAAATCCAACACATCAGATTGTTTATGGACACAACCTGGAACACCAAAACCAGCGGAATACTGGAAGGCAGTTAGTCTGATATTCTGTCAACCCAGGCCATGATTAACCAACATCTTCGGGACAGCAACTAACATGTACGAGGAGCTTTCAAAGTGATTATTGTACTTAAAATCTTTGGCTGTAGCCAGTACCCTGTATGAACTTGAGAATGCTGTCTAGAAATTCCTAAAACATGACAGACAATCAAGATTTTTCTACTGTGTAAGGGTCAGCTAGTTTCTGGTGGTCCTCAAACACGGTCAAGTCCACAAACTCTAACTCCTGTTACACACTGTCTCTCCGGAGCGTGTCCTCTTTAGTGCCCTTTTGGTTGTTCTGGATTCCCTTAGGGAGGACATGCTCAAGTTTCCATTTTATCACACCCTCTTCCTTTCTTAGGAAACTTTTTTGAAAAAGCATAAAGGTAGGGGAGCCTGGGTAGCTTAGTAGGTTAAGTGTCTGCCTTCAGCTCAGGTCATGATACCAGGGTCCTGGGATTGAGTCCCGCTTCAGACTCCCTGCTCAGTGGGGAGTCTGCTTCTCCCTCTCCCTTTGCCCCTCCCCTCCACACTCTCTCCACTTGTGCTCTCTCAAATACATCTTTTTTTTTTTTTTTTTAAAAGCATGAGGTTAGAATATCACTATAGCAAGTTTATGTACTAGGAGGGATGGGCAATTTCCCAGACCTCCACTACTGTCCTATTTATATATTCCTTTCTTGTTTTTATCAATATACTTTTATTTGTAAATAATAGGGCACATTATTTCCTTTCTTTAAAAAAATTAACATTCTATTATAGGCATCTCCCCATAGTGCTCATAGGCTTTATGATTAACATGAGAGATGGCACACCCTTTAGATGGATGCACCTTAATTTAACCACTTCCAATTTGTTTCCAATTTTTCCCTATTAGAAATAGTTCCAGGGCGCCTGGGTGGCTCAGTCAGTTAAATGTCTGCCTTTGGCTGAGGTCATGATCCCAGGGTCCTGGGATTGAGTCCTGCATCAGGCTCCCTGCTTCTTCCTCTGCCCCTCCCCCGGCTTATGCACGTGCACACTCCTGCTCGTTCTGACAAATTAAAATCTTAAAAAAATAAGTTCCATGATTAGTGTATTCATTCATATAGCTTATATTTGGGTTAAAAAAATAATATTCCCTGAAATGGATTATTAAAGGAGGCTTTTATTTAGTTTTATTTTTAATTCCAGTATAGTTAACATAGGGGTTATATTAATTTCAGATGTACAACAGTGATTCAGCAATTTAAAGGGAGTATTTAAAAAATATCTTGAAATAATTTGAAACTTAGAGAAAAGTTGTAAGAACTCCACACACCCTTTACCCAAATTCACCAGTTCTTAACCTTTTGCCACAATCCATGAAAAAACATTTTCAGACTATTAAAATATCCTACTCCTTATCAACCTCCCTCTCCCCTGCTGCTAAAGACTCCCCAATCCTGTCTTCACTGCAATGGTTACAAAATGGTAATTTACCAACAATGGTTGCAAAATGGTATTTTACCAACTTCCTACCATGTATCAGATGGAATGCTGCAAGGAGGAAGAACAGGGTCTTCATACAGACTGCCAAATAGTTTTATTAACAGTTGTAAATGTACAAGGTCATCCATAATCTGTGAATTTTGGTACACTGTAATCATCCTGCAAGTTGTTCTTTTTTGCTAAGCAATCAACAAAAATATGTGCTACTGTTGCTTTAATTTGCATATCTTTACTCCTAAGGCTAAACTTTTATTAATTTATCCAATTGTACCCCTTCTAGTCCTTACTATATATAAAATTGTCTCTCCATGTATTCTGCCCAATTGGAATCTAAATGTGCGCTCTTATTTATTTATTTATGTGTGGTCTTTATTCAAAGATAGTAACTCTTCTTTTTTTTTTCTTTTTTTAAAGATTTATTTATTTATTTGACAGACAGAGATCACAAGTAGGCAGAGAGAGAGAGAGCGGGAAGCAGGCTCCCTGCTGAGCAGAGAGCCCAGTGCAGGGCTCAATCCCAGGACCCTGAGATCATGACTGAGCCGAAGGCAGAGGCTTAACCCACTGAGCCACCCAGGCGCCCCTTAACTCTTCTTTAATGCAAAGATTTTTCTCGATTCACTGCTTTGCTTTGTTTCAAGTTTCTAATTGCATACAATAAAATATGCTGTACTCTTCTCCTATGATTTGTCCTTGAATATTTAATAAATATTTAGTTCTATTTTACTGTAAATTTTCTAAAATATGATCCTATTTTACTCTAAATTAAAAAATTTTTAAAAATGCTAGTTAGGCCATCAGATTAATTTTTTGAGAGCTGTGTGTCTAATTTTGTTTTTCTCGACTGACAGCCAGCGATCCACCCTCTCTTACCCAACATCACCAAACTATATCGCTCCTGCATAGCAGGCTCTACCTTTGGCCTATCTACTGTTTTTATAGAAACAGCAGATTTTTTTCATTGTTGTGGTAAAATACCTATAACATAACATCGATCATTTTAGCCATTTTTAAGTGTACAATTGAGTGGCATACAGTACTGTCACATTGTTTTGCAAGCATCAGCACCATCCATCTCCAGAACTTTGTCATCTTCCCCAGCTGAAACTGTCCCCGTCCACACTGCTGCCCCACCTCCGTAGACTTTCAACTCTCTCTTTCGTAAGACTGTCCTTCCTCATTATTTTTCTTTTTGATTATTTTATATCCTTGCGAACCTGACCCACCAAATTCACTTTGGTCTTCTTTTGTAAAGTTAGAAGAAAAATTTGGTTGGGTTTGTATTTGTGGGGAACATAATACCTTTTTTTAAAAGATTTTTTAAAAAGTAATTTCTACACCCAAGGTGGGGCTTGAACTCACGACCCAGAGATCAAGAGTCACATGCTCCACCCACTGAGCCAGCCAGGCGCCCTGGAGGGAACTCATATGTTTACAAAATTTAGTTTTCCCATCCAATAACACTGTCTCATCTGTAGGTCTGCTTTCATGTCTGTGTGAAGTTATGTGCCTTTTTCATATACAACACTCACATTTATTAGGATTATTCTGAAATATCTTTTTGCTGCAATTCTGGAGGTGTTGTTGTTTTATTATATTTTCATACTGGCTACTGCTGACAGACGAGCTGTAGAGTTCTTTATTTTTATGGTGCGCTTGGTCATTTTTGCTGAATTCTAGCGGTGTTTTAGAGAATTTTATCAAATGTCTTTTGGCATATATGTCAGTAGATGATCATATGTTGTTTTTTAATGGATTGATAAACTGCATTACTTTGAAGGTGTCAGAACACCCTTCTTGGGATTCACTCAACACCTATCTGTTGAGCGCTTATGAGGGGCCAGCCCTGTGTAGGTGCTGGAGGTGGATAAATCCTGCCCTGTTCAGAGCCTCTTTTCTAGTAATCTGGAAAATCAATTTGATCCTGCTGAAATGTTCTAAAATCACTGATGTCATTTATTAGCTCCTTAAGTTTTATACAAATATTCATATATCATTTTAAATCAGTTTTTGGTCATCCCAAACCACCCCCATGTGGAATTAAGATGTTTGGGGATAACACCACTCTGAATCATGGTTAAAAAGCTCAGGGATGTGTTCAAGAGTGGCTGCTGTGTGCTGTAGCCATGGCTGGAGACCAAAGTGACCAAGGCTCACAGAAGGGGGAATAATTCAAGTTCCTGAAACCTACATCTGTGGATAATTTTATTTTCAAGAGTCCTCTCTAGTTTTTTTAATTAAGGCTTTGAACTTTAACCAGAAGTAGTGTCCCAGGAAAATGTTTAATGAACTGAACTTGGGTGTAAAATATAAAAATGTATAACACTGTAAGATTTATAGAAAATAAAACTTGTCTTACTTATGCCTTCTGAAATATAGATTACACTAATATGGTATACTATTCAGGACAATATGATTTTTCTAATTATCCTTTTCTAAATTACATATTCAGCTAACATCTGGATCACTTAATGGAGATTTATAAGTGTTTTAAATGGGGTACAACAAAATTTAAAGTATGCCCTTAGCTATGTACATTTAGAAAAACGCATGAATGAATAAAATGTACCCAGATACATTCAAAAGCTTATTTTCAGCAACAGTTTCCATCCTTTCCTGCCAAGTTCCTAACTTTGCCCCCCTTGTGTGGAAGGTGGCTCTAAGCAAGAAGCCTAACAAGCAGATCGGACAGGAAGCAGAGCTGGAAAAATCGAACAGGTGGGGTGATTATTCCTGAAAATACAATGGCGTTCAGTTATGACTTTATGTGGATGTCAGCACCTTTCAATGTTTCCAGAATCATGGTGTCACCCACACGGGGCCTTGTTCCTAACACCACGCTGTACCTCTATTTCCGTGTGCACCTACTGCGCAGGGGGCTGGCCGCACAGAGCTGGCGCTGCTGCGGGAGGGCTGGCGCTCCACGGGGGGGCAGCCGCAAGCTCTTCCCAGTGCCTCACCACCCAGGCTTTGCGCTCCATGGTGAGGACTGGAGAGCCAGGACTCTGACTTAAGCTACTGAGCCACCCAGGCATCCCATGAATGTAGGTTTTTATGGGCACTTAATACTTTTCATCTATTTCTGTAAATAGTATTATAAAATTTAGTGTTACGGGCAAAAGAGGTATCGTCAGTTACAACACTTCATACATTCGTATAGGTTAGACCGCTGAGAGCGTTAGGTAACAGCCAGGAACAAACTCGGTTTTTCAAGAGATCTTTCAGCTGGTGGGAAAGAGGCAGCCTTCACTAGGCTGGTTATGTGCAGGGTTAGTCATTAAGAAGACAGTAACATTTGGGCGCCTGGGTGGCTCAGTGGGTTAGGCCTCTGCCTTCGGCTCAGGTCATGATCCCAGGGTCCTAGGATCGAGCCCCATATCAGGCTCTCTGCTCAGCAGGGAGCCTGCTTCCCCCTCTCTTTCTCTGCCTGCCTCTTTGCCTACTTGTGATCTCTGTCAAATAAATAAATAAAATCTTAAAAAAAAATAAAAGAAGACAGTAACATTTATTTAAAAGCAGCCCCAAAGACTCTCCAGGCCTGCAGAAAAGTTCAAAGCTTATCTCCTTGGGAGGAAAATATATTTAGTAAGAGGCGTTTCCTTTCTGCTCCCACACACCCGTGAACTGAAGCTGATGCGAAGTAGGGGGAGGAAGATCACTTTTCAGTCCATAGAGTTTTGTGTCATTTGAAATATTCCAATGAACCTGTGCTCCTTTCCTAACTTTTCCGTCACTGGACTCAGAACAGTAACAGTGATGGACTGGCGGAGCGCAGTGCACTGTTCCTCCCTCCCTGCTTTGTACTTGGCCTGTGCGCGGGGCAGGGAGTGGGAGGGCAGGGCGAGGGAGGGAATGGGGCCTGCCCTGCCGCTGTGGGACCTCAGCTGGGCCCCTCCCTGGTCGAGTGAGCGTGGGTGAGTTGCTCAACCCTTCTATCTTCAGTTTCCTCATTGCTAAAGCTGAGGTCCCCTTAGCACTCACCTCAACAGGGGCCTGGGAGGATTAAATAGACTCACATTCACAGGGCGCTTAACACGCTGCCCCGGAGAGCCCCTGCCCCGTCTTAGTTGTGGTTGGTGAACATTACCAGGATCGCTGTGATGAGGAGGAGGCATAGAGCATGAGGTCGGTGTCTCAATCCTGGCTCTAGCACTTGCTCAATGTATGACCTTGGGAGAGTGACCTTACTCTGGAGGCCTCAGTTCTCTCATCTTTAAATCAGGAATAACTACCAATTTCATAGGGTTGCTGTGGGGTTCAGTGATGTATCTACTGAGCATGTATGAAGCCCTGAACACAGCTCTTGGCATTCCCCAAGCACTCAGTAAGTGGCGGTGATTTTTATAATAAAAATTTGTGGAAACTGAGGGTTTTCTATATACTGTGGCAAAAAAGGGAGAAAACAAACAAGGAAACAAAAAGCCTCTTTCCCATGAGGCTGATTCTCCATGCCAGAAGGCTCCGGATTTGTCAGCTGGCCCACTTAAAATATTCCCATAAATGCCACTTGACATATTTGAAGCAAAGTCATTCACATGTAGTGGTATTTGTTTATAGTTGACACATCGGTTGGTGTTTTTAAACCGTGTGTGAATGTGGATGGCGGCCTCTGTCTCGGTCACCGTGGTACCCCGCTGCCCACAACCAACGGCGCCTCACACAGAGCAGGTACAAATGTTCTTCTTGAATGACATGAACAAATGAACATAGGAAAAATATGGAAATGTCTTTTGCTTCGTTGAAGTCAGTGAATATTTTTGTGTATAGGAGGCCCGCTGGGTACGCTTTAACATCTCTCCACATACGGCGCAGACCTGGGTTCTAGTCCTGCCTCCTCCCTGGGGGACCTCCAATGACTCCAGGAAACTCAAGGAGACCGTTTCCTCTTCCTCGACCTTTTAGGGTCCTTGCAGCTCTAACACTCCCCCTTTGTAAGCAAGTCCCTCCTGCATAGTCCTGAGTTCTAGAGCACTGCGCAGTGATGAAATTCAGCATTACCCCTCCTTGGCAGCTGAGGCACTTTGACAGTCATAAAAGGAAAAAGCACTGAAACAAACAATCGAGTCTTACACTTCCATTGAGATGATGTCTCAATGTCTACGTCCACTGTCAACACCCAGTCCCCTGCGCTGGCTGAAACTGGGTGCCATGCCCCCGTGGGAGCCTATGAATATGGTTAGCGTACACATGACATCAATGCAAAACCCACTGTGGAAAAAAACGAGAGAGAAACAGGACAAATGGAAGTGTGAAGCACACATAGGAAGAGGGAGAGCTCTTGCCATGCACACGCTGAGAAAGCCAAGTGTGTGCGACAGAAGGCATCACGCTGCTGCGCCCGGAGGGTCGAGAGGGACAGCGTGGGATAAGCCAAGGCCCGCCTCCAACAACACCTTAGCAGACCCCGCAAACCTCAAGATGACTGTCTTCAAAAACAAGCACACACCGAGAGCTGCCAGCTTTTCTCCCATTCGCTTGGCGACCAGGGAAGGGCCCCGGCAGCCCGATGGAGGGACCCACCTTGCAGTGCGTGGTGCTGACCGGAAGCCCGACGTTGGAGGCGATCACCACGGTGAAAGCGGAGGCCAGCTCGATGGTGAAGCCGCTGCGGGGGGGAGGGCACAAGAGACAAATCACAGGCGCTCTTTGTATCAGCCTCACGGACACCCCGGGGTTGCCAGAGTCTCACCAGAACATTCTTTGGGTCGATTGTTGGGCTGCTGACCCGGCAGATGACATTAACAGAAAAGAAACTGCTGCATAATGACAACAATTCACACTAAGACTGTGTGTGATACTGTTGACAGCCCTAAATAGCCTTCTTTTTCCGATATGTTTTCAAAAAGCATACACTGTCGTAACTGGGTCAGAAATTCCTGCTGTGTAAAAAATGCTAAATTAGTCATTTCTAAAGTGGCGGAGAAAAAAAAAGTACTCCCATCTTTAAAATGTGTACTTCTTGCAAAAAAGTGAATTTTTTTCTCAGATTGCTAGTTTTTCTTCAAACCAATCTTATAAAAGAATCATTACAGTGAGTTTCAAGGGTGGGGGGTGGGCATTTTTGCGCATTTTTACAATAGGTGGTTCCACGTCCAGTTGTGTTCTCCAAGTTCTCCTGTCAATTTGTCCTTAACCCGGAACACACGTGGAAAACACACACAGCAGAAGGACCACCCGAAGGCAAATGGCGGGTCACGGCTCCCCCCGCCCGGCTGCAGGAAGCACGCGCAAGCTAACCTCCGAGGGTGCCAGCGGAGAGCTGCTTCCATCCAGCAGGGGAGGCTGGTGTGGCGGAGAAATTTTGGGAAATGCAGACCCTGGGCCTAGGGCGGTTTGCATACCCTTGGGCCCCGCTTCCCTCTGGGCCTCCCCAAGGGTAAGACCACCAGGCGGCCTGGACCCAGGTTTCTTTTCCTCTTCCCTCCCGCTCTGGTTCAGCTTCTCTTCCCCCTACACTCCCAGCCTCTCACCTTCTCACTCGAAGCCACTGCAGATGGGACAAGTGCCGCACGAGGGACAGCAACGATGGGCATTGAGCCCACTGGGCCCCAGCGGCCCCCCGAGTCTGTGCAGAGGGCTTGGGGGCAGAGGTGCAGCGGGGGAGGACTTCAGACACTGCAAGCCGGTTCTGCGGCAGGCCCCGGAGGACAGCCCTGCCCCTTGGGCCGGCGCTTTGGCCTACCTCGATGGTGTGATGGGAGTGAGGTCCTTCCCCATGGTCTGGATCACTCTTCTCCCCCAGACCCAGAGGCCGGTACAGATTCCAACTCCTCCATAAAACAGCAGCCAGACGGGGGTCGCTGCTTCTTGCAGGACTGCACCTTGCTCGTAAATCAGCCACAAGGCTACCAGGGGACCGATGGCGTTACTGGGAAGGGGAAAAAGAGACAGTGACACAGACATGGTCTGCATGCGCCCACGGTCCCGTGCATCCCGGGCTTGAGGAAAGCCCACCGGCCTGTATTTGTGCGTCGTCCACACAATCGAAATGACTCACTTGTTTTATTGGGGTGAAAACCCCATCAACTTTACTACTTTCACCATTTCTAAGCGTATGGCTCTGTCGTGTTCAGCAGCTCACTCAGCTGTGAACCAGAGCTCTAGGACTCTCTCAGCTTGCAAATCTGAAACTTTACACCCACGGTACAGTAAGTCTCTTTGCCCCATCCCACCCCCCTCCACCAGGCGCGGCTCACCATCACCCTACTGTCTGTTTCCATGGATTGGACTACTCTAGGCACTTCACAGAAGGAGAATGACTCAGCATTTGTCTTCGTGTGACGGGCTTATTTCGCTCTGCGTCTCGTCCTCAGGGTTCATCCACGTGGGAGCACGAGTCGGAATTTCCTCCTCTTCCAGGCTGTACCCCCTGCTCCCCGAAGACAGCCCACACCTTCATCCGTTCACCTATCGCTGCCACCTCCTGGCTGCAGCGAAACACGCTGCGGTGAACATGGGTGTACAGATGTCCCCGCGGGATCCTGCGTGCAGCTCTTCCGGGCACAAACTCAGAAGGAAGAGGACTGCTGGATCACACGGTGGTGTTATTTTTCATACTTTGAGGAACCTCCGGACCGTTTTCCACAGCAGCTGCACCCGTTCACATGCCCGCCAACCGCGCACCAGGGCTCCCATTTCTCCACACCCTCGCCAACACTTGTCACTGTTATTTTTTTTTTAACAGGAGCCCCTCCCTCAATGGGTGTGTGACTTATTAATTTTTTAAAGAAGTACTGAATTATCACAAGTGGACACAAAAACCCTGTTCTTTTTTTCCTCTTCTATTTTTTCTCTATTTCTATTTTCATTACTAGCCTTGCTACTAATACGAACTACCAGTTTGGGCAGCCACATCAGCTCCCACACGACAGACCACAAACACCGTCTCTAACCCTCAGTTCTCACACCCACCCTGCTGCTAGGTATGGTTGCTCCCATCTTACTGACGAGGAAACGGATGCCAACGTTCCGTCACCAGCAGAAGGCAGGACTCAGGCCTCACCCCCTTTCCCCTCAACCATTACTGTCACTCAGACCCTTGGCAGGCACATGTGGACTGTTTTGGGGGATGCCACAGGTTTGGTTTTGTTTAGTTTTTAAAGGAGACTCCATGCCCAGAGTGGAGACCAGTGCAAGGCTTGAACTCATGACCCTGAGATCAAGACCTGAGCTAAGACCAAGAGGAGGACACTTAGCCACCCAGGCGCCCCATTCTTTGGTGACGTGTCTGGTAAGGTGTTTGGCCCCTTTTTAAAATTGGATTATTTGTTTTCTTATTGCTGAGTTTCAAGAGTTCTTTGTATATTACTCTTTTAGCAGATTTGTCTTTTTGAAAATTTTTTTTGAATTTATTTGAGAGAGAGAGAACAGATGGGTAGGGAGGAACAGGGGCAGAGGGAGAAACAGACTCCCCCACTGAGCAGGAAGCCCAACATGGGGCTCAGTCCCATGACCCTGAGATCACTGATGACCTGAGCTGAAGGGAGACAGCGAATCAACTGAGCCACACAGGTGCCCCTGTTTCTGGCTTCTCTACTCATTTTCTCGACACTGTCCTCCCCCATGCAAAAGTTTCTAATTTTAATAAAGCCCAGTTTACCTAGTATTTCCTTTATGGACTGTGCCGTTGGTGCTGTATCCTAAAGAGTCATTTCCATAACCACCATCATCTAGGTTTTGTCCTGTGTCATCCGACTGGGAGTTTTAATAGTTTCCCACTTTACACTTAGGTTTGCAATCCATTTTGAGTTCCTTTTTCTGAAGGGTGTAAGGTCTGCGTCCGGATTCATTTTTGCGCATGGACGTCTAGCTGCTCCAGCACTGTTTGCTGAGAAGACTCTCTCCACTCTGCTGCATCTCCTTGGCTCCTCTGTCAAAAATCAGTTGATTGTATTTATGGGGCACTATTTCTTTTTTTTCTTTAAATATTTTGTTTATTAATTTGAGAGAGAGAGGGAGCGTGCTCACGCAGGAGTGGGGGGCAGAGGCAGAGGGAGAAGCAGGCTCCCCGCTGAGCAGGGAGCCCGATGCAGGGCTTGATCCCAGGACCCTGGGGTTATGACCTGAGCCCAAGGCAGACACTTAAATTGACTGAGCCACCTGGGCGCCCCCAAGGGGGTCTATTTCTGAGCTCCGTTCTGGTTCACTGACTTATCTATTCCTTCACCACACCATCTTGATTACTGTAGCTGTATTACAGTAAGTCTTGATGATGGGCAGCGTCAGTCCTTCAGTTTTGTCCTACTCCTTCAATACAGTGCTGACTACTCAGGGTCTTTTGCCTTTCCTGACAAATTTTATAATCTGTTTGTCGATATCCATAAAATAATCTGCTGGGATTTTGACTGGGATTGTAATGAATTTATAAATCAAGGGGGGGAAGAACTGACATCTTGACAATATTGAGTCTTCCTATCCCTGAACATGGAAAATCCCTCCATTTAATTCTTTGATTTTATTAATCAGTTTTATAGTTTGCTGCATGTAAATCTTGTACAAATTTTGTTAGATTTATAACTGTTTTATTATGTAAACGATATTCTGTTTTTAATTTCAAATGTCACCGGTTCATTATTGGTATGTAGGAAAGCAATTGACTTGTATATTAATATCATATCCAGCAACCCTGCTATAACTGCTTACTCATTTCAGCAACTGAAGAAATTCCCCTTTATTCCTAGTTTACTGAAAGTTCTTATCATGAAAAAGAGGTGAATTTTGTTTAAGATTTTTCTGCTACTATTGATAGAATCATGTGATTTTTCCTTTTTTAGCCTATTGATGTGATAGATTACATTAACTGATTTTTGGATGTTGAGCCAGCCTGGCATACCTGGGATAAACATCCTTTGGTCATGGTGTTTAATTCTTTTTATACATCGCTGGATTCAATTTGCTAATATTTTGTTGAGGATTTGTACATCCATGTTTGTGACACATACTGGTCTGCAGTTTTCTTTTATGTCAATGTCCTCCTCTGGTTTTGGTAATAAGGTAATACTGGCCTTACAGAATAAGCTGAGAAGTATTTCCTCTACTTCTATCATCTGAAGGAGACTAGAGAAATGGCATAGTTTCTTCCTTAAATGTTTGACAGAATTCACCAAGGAACCATCTGGGCATGGTGCTTTCTGTTTTGAAAGGTTATTAAATATGGTTTGATTTCTTAAATAGATACAGACCGATTCAGATAGTCTATTTCTTCTTTCATGAGCTCTGGCAAATTGTGTCATTCAAGGAATTCAGTCTTTTTCATCTAGGTCATCAAATTTATGAGCAGAGTGGTTCAGAGTATTGTCTTTTTAATGTCTATAGGATCTAAAGTGAAGTCCACTCTTTCATTTCCGGTATTAGTAATTTGTATCCTCTCTTTTTCTTAGTTAGCCTGGCTAGAGGCTTATCAACTTTATTAATTTATTCATAGAATTAGCCTTTGGTTTCACGGATTTTCTCTTTTGATTTCCTGATTTCCTTTTCACTGATTCTTTTCTAATTCTTATTATTTCCTCTGCTTACTTTGGATTTAATTTTCTCCTCTTTTTCTAGTTTCCTTGGGTGGAAATGTAGATTACCTATTTTATATATTTATTCTTTTCTAATATATATATATATATATATATAGCACATTCAGTGCTATAAATTTCTTAGCACTGCTTTTGCTGCATCCCACTAATTTTGATGTGTTTTCATTTTAATTTAGTTTAAAATACTTAAAAATTTCTCCTTTGATCCATGTGTTATTTAGAAGTGTGTTGTTTAGGGGTGCCTGCTTGGCTCATGGGTTAAAACCTCTGCCTTCAGCTCGGGTCATGATCTCAGAGTCCTGGGATCAAGCCACACATCGGGCTCTCTGCTTGGCAGGAAGCCTGCTCCCTCCTCTCTCTCTCTCTCTCTCTGCCTGCCTCTCTGCCTACTTGTGATCTCTATCTGTCGAATAAATAAATAAAAGCTTAAAAAAAAAAGAAGTGTGTTGTTTAATCTCCTGGTATTCTGGAATCTTCTAATTATCTTTCTGTTGTGGATTTCTAGTTTAATTACATTGTGCTCTGAGAGCAGACACTATATTAGCTTTATTTTTTCAAATGTGTTTAGGTGTGTGTTATGGTCCAAAATACTGCATATCTCACTGAATGTTCCATATGAGCTTGAAAAGGATGTGAGTTCTGCTACCATTGGATGAACTAGTTCACAGATGTCAGTTATATCCAGCAGATTTGATGGGTTTATGGGATTCAACTATATCCTTACTGATCTGCTTGCTGAATCTGTGTCTGTTCTATCTAAAATTAATACAGCAACTCTTGTTTTCCTTTGATTAGTATTAGCATGGTATATTTTCCTCCTTTTAACCTGAATGTGTCTTTCTACTTAAAGTGGATTTCTTATGGCAACATACATTTGGTTTTTGATCCAATCCAGCAGTCTTTGTCATTTGACAGGTGCATTTAGACCACTGACATTCAAAGTTATTACTGATTTAGGAGGATTAAGATCTACCATATTTGTTACTCTTTTCTATTTGTTGGCCTTGTTCTTTCTTGTTTTTGTCTTCCACTTTTTTTGCCTTTTAACTGAGCATTTTATATGATTTCATTTTCTTTCTTCTCTTAGCATATTGTTTATACTTTTTTTAAACTGTTTTTAGTGGTTGCCCTAGACTTTGCAATACATACTTATATAGCTAATCCATGTCTGCTTTCAAAAAAGACTATACCATTTCACAGACTGCATGGGTCCTTAAAATAAAAAAAAAAAAATCCTCATTTTTCCCTCCCATCCCCTGTATCACGGCTGTCATTCATTTCATTTAATACAGGCACACATGTATTATATACATATATACACACATACATGTATATAATACATACATGTATTAATACACATATACATATATACACACATATAAAATATAAAATATATAATATAAATATAAACATATAAATATAAAATATATAAAATACATACTTAGTTGACTTCCACACTGTGGGGATTGGGATGTTAAGCCCCACACAGTAAAAACTCTGTGTATAATTTCTCTCTCTTTTTTAAAGATTTTATTTATTTATTTGACAGAGAGTGAAAGAACACAAGCAGGGGGAGCAGCAGAGAGAGAGGAGAAGCAGGCTCCCTGTTGAGCAGGGAGCCTCATGTGGGGCTCGATCCCAGGACTCTGGGACCATGACCTGAGCCAAAGACAGACACTTAACCAACTGAGCCACCCAGGCGCCTCTATAATTTCTGACTCCACAAAAACTTTACTACTAGTAATGCTATTGACTGGAAGCCTATTGACACATATTTTACATATTATATATATTATATATTTTTACAATAGAGTAAGCTAGAGAAAAGAAAATGTTAAGAAAATCATAAAGAAGAGAAATGTATTTATAGTACCGTAGTTATTGAAAAGGACCTGCATGTAAGATGTAAGTAGATGCACAGTCCAAACCCATGTTTTTCAAAGGTCAATTATATATGTACATACATACATACATACACATATATATAGCTGTGTGTATGTATGTACAGGGATATATATGTGTGTGTGTGTGTGTGTATGTAGTTCAATTGTGGTCTGACAGCAGACATTGTATTATTATACTCTTTTTAATTTGTTGAGATATTTTATATATTAAACTATATTTAGGTAACTGTATATGTACGTATTTACAGTTACCTAAATATAGTTTAATATATAAACATATCTCAACAAATTAAAAAGAGTATAATAATACAATATATACTAGCATACACAACTGAATAACTGATACACCGTTAGTATTATTTTGAACTGTTATCATTTAGATCACTTAAAAATAAGAATAATAACTTTTTTTAACCTTTACTTAATCCTTCCATGATGTTCTTCCTTTCTTTTTTTTTATATTTAAAAAAAATTTTTTAAATTAACATATAATGTATTATTAGCTCCAGGGGTACAGGCCTGTGAATCGCCAGGTTTGATGTTCTTCCTTCCTTTATGTAGATCTGAGTTTCTGAGCTATATTATTTTTCTTCTCTCTAAAGAGTTTCTTTCTTTCTTTTTTTTTTTTTTTAAAGATTTTATTTATCTATTTGACAGAGAGATTGAGAGAGCACAAGCAGGGGGAGCAGCAGAGGGAGAGGGAGAAGCAGGTCCCCTGCTAGAGATTCTGATGCGGGGCTTGATCCCAGGATCCTGGGATCATGACCTGAGCCAAAGGCAGACGCTCAACCATCTGAGCCACCCAGGCGCCCCTAAAGAATTTCTCTTAACATTTCTTACAAGGCAAGGTATTTCTATAGCAACAACTCCCTCAATTTTTGTGCATCTGAGAAAATCTTTATTTCTTCTTTACTTCTGAAGAATAATTTCCCAGGGTATGTAATTCTAGGCTGGTGGATTTTTTTCCCCCCTCAACACTTTAAATATATTTCACTACCCTCTCAAATGCATGATTTCTGAGGAGAAGATAATCAGATTAATTCTTATTTTTGTTCTTCTGTAAGTTTTTCTCTTCTGACTTCTTCCAGGAATTTTTCTTTAATTTTCTACAGTTTGAGAATGATATACCTAGATATAGTTTCTTGGGGGCATTTATTCTACTTGCTACTCTCTGAGCTTCCTGGACCTCTGGGTTGGTGTCTACCATTGATTCAGGGAAATTCTCCATCGTTATTGTTTCAAATATTTCATCTGTCCCTTTCTCTCTGTCTTCTCCTTCTGGTAATCCTATTACGCATATGTTAACACCTCTGTAACTGTCCCACACTCCTTGGACATTCTATTCTGGTTTTTCAGTCTTTGTTTTCTTTAGTTTGGGGGATTCCTGTTGACATAGCCTCAAGCTCAGAGATTCTTTCCTCAGCCGTGTCCAGTGCACTAGTAAGCCCACCAAAGGCCTTCTTCACTTATGGGGTCCTCTCCAGTATTTCCTTCTGGTTCTCTGTTAGTGCCTCCACTGTCTCTGCTTCCATTGCCCATCTGTCTTGCACGATGCTTACCTTATCCATTAGAACTCCTAGCATGTTAATCACAGTTGTTCTAAATTCCCAACACGACCATTCTAACATGCCTTGCCACGTCTGGTTCTGCTTGCTCTGTCTCATGGTTCTCGTGGGCTAGTTTCTCTTCCTCCAGGTTAGGCTGTGATAGTACCTCAGCGGGTTAGGCTCCGGTTAACTAGTTTCCCCTGAGGGCAGCTTGCTAAGAACACAGCGGTCTGGGTCTGTCAAGTATGGTTACTTTGCCTCGCCCCCGCCATGGAAGCAGGAGGGGACTGCTTCCTCTGATCTTCATCGTGAGGAGCTGGCAGAGCTCCTAGAGGCAAAACGGACAATCTGGTGGGGGCCCTACCACCGGCTCTCCCTGGAGTCTTTACCTCCCACACTCGCCTCCACCGAGCCTCTAGGAATTCATCATTACCGTTCAGGCCCTCCGGCCTGGCACTGGTTCCCACGACACTTTCCACTCATGTGTCTCCCCCATGAGCCCCATGCTTGTCTGTCTCTCCCGTACTCGTCTTGGGGCCAGCTGTCTGCCCTCGGCCCTCCTCTCTCTCACGGCTCCAAGAGGAGTTGTTGATTTTTCAGTCTGTTGTGAGGAGGGAGCGGCAGCCTCTGAGCTCCTCTGTGCAGAAGCCCCCACAGGCCTTCGAGGGGCCGTCAGCAGCTCCGGCCTCCCCTCCTCAGCCCGCCGGACGCCGTGCAGGCAGAGCGGAGGCTGAGGGGTCATGAAGAGCTGCCTGTCGAGTCTGCTTCTCATTAGCTGTGTGATCCTGGGCAAGAGATGTCGTATTTCTGAGCTTCAGATTTCGTACTTTGAAGGAAACCACTATGACCTCAAAGGACCGTTTGGAGACAGATTAAGAATAAGTTACTAACCGTTCAGCACTGAAGCCTGGGGTAAACTTAATAGCCTTGGGTTAAAGGAATAGAAGCTTCTCTTCACTGTCACATCACTTCCAGAACCTTGCACTTTTACCGGACCATGTCTGCACTCGGAAGCCTCAAAACCAGGCCCTACCCGGCAAGCCACTGCTCGAGACTCCAGTCCCCTGCAGCAGTCCCACCCGGGACTTCCTGAGGCCTTGTGATATGGCTCTGGGGTGCTTCGTTACTTCTCCGTGTATGTTCTTTTAATCTCCACAGCTGGAATCTAAACTCCAAGAACAGGGACCCAATTCAGAACACCCTGCCGGTACCAGGGCTTCAGTAGGAATTTTTGATCTGGAGGAGGAGGAAGTAGGGCGGTGCTGGGGGCGTAGTCACAAAAGTAAGCTAGGACCGAACCCTACGTAACAGCGGGTGGAACCCGAGATGACCAGCCCTCTTGTCTGGGAGGACGACGTCTTCTAAAAAGAACAGACCCTGAATGGCACATGGTTAGGCTGTGTCTGGAAAGCCAGAGCTGTAGAATCAAGAGCCATATATCTGGGCAGTAAGAAATACAACAACAGCATGTTTTCCTGATTTGGAAAAAAACATTAGGCCACATTAAATATAGCATCTCACTTAATCCTCCTAGAAATCCCATGAGGCTGGTACTAGTTTTCCTCCCATTTTACAGATTGGGACACTGAGGCTCCCAAACAAAAAAAAGCTTGTCTAGGGCTTCCCAGCTCGTAAGAAGAGAATAGAGACTCTACGTATTCCAGACCTCCATGACCTGCTGACCTGATGGTCCACACTCTCTCCCTCCATGGCCTCCTTGCTCTTCCTACAACACCCTAGGTGCGCTCCTGCCACAGGCCTTTTGCACCTGCTGTCCTGGAGCTGCTCTCGCACAGCTGCTCACACAGCTGGCTCCCTCAGCCCCTTCAGAGCTCACCTAGTGAGCCCTAACTTGAGTAGCCTCACCAACACCACAGTCCCCGAGACGCTGCCATTCCCCTGCAGACTTGATTCTCCCCTTCACGTCTACGTTGTGAGCACACCACAGCTGCTACCTGTCTGTCTGCTCCCGGTGACAGGGATCCCCATCAGGTGTCCACACGGTGCCTGTCCCGCAGGCAGGCCCTCAGCACATACCTGCCAAGCGAACGCATATACTTACCTCACGTCATTGCCACCATGAGCAAAGGATCCAAAACAGGCAGTGAGGACCTGCAGGAAATGGAACAGGAGGTGGACCTCGGCGGTGTCCTTCTCCTCCTTCTCCTCCTCCGCGGGGTCCTCCCGGGGCTGGTCGGGATCGGTCAGCTCAGAAGCCAGCTTCATTTCCACACCCCCCTCATCGGCCTCGATCTCGGCTTCTGCGACCGCATTGCAGTAGCTCGAGTAGCTGTCGTAGCGAAGTCTCTTCTTGGAGTAGGACACGGCGTCGCCCACCAGCTTCTCGCTGTCCTCGGGCGCGGAGGATGAGTCGGCGGCTCTGAAGGTGGCGTGCACGGGCAGCCCGCAGATGGCGGCCGTGTAGCACGTGTAGCTGTTGTTGCGCCGCAGCAGCCTGTAGTTGTTCTCTGGGGCGGGCCTCTCCTCAGGGCCCCTGTCCGTGTGCATTCTGTGCAGCAGGTCCTTGTAGAGCCCCGAGTCCTTGTGCACCGTGTGGTACACGTGCCCGTCGCTCCGCGTGTGGCCGTCGAAGCCAAAGGTGCCGTTGGAGATGGGTGATTTTGCGGAGCCATGGGTCATGGACAGTGCCCTTCCTGAAAAGGGTGAACGAGAGTCTCACTTTCTAGCCTTCTGAAGAGAAATCGTTTCTGAAAGGAAATATTCCTCACTCTTCACAGCGGTTCTCTCTGGAAATTAGGGTTAGAGGGGATTTTCCAATTTTTCCCCCCATGCTTTCTTTTCCAAATTACTATAAAGAATGTGTAATACGGTTAAAATAGCAAAGGAAAGTTGGAAATGTACGAATGAATATGGCTTTTGAAAGTGATGCTATTTTTCTCCTAAAATATGTCTTCTAGAAATTACCACAGCACTCTTTCCTGTTTCTAGTAACCAATAAAGGGATAATCCTTAAAGGAACTTGGGGAAACTTCATAGAGGAAGTTCACTGGGAGAGGGAAATTCTAGATGCTCCTTAAAGGCCAATCATGACTGTCAGAGGCACTTATCTGTCAGATCAGTGGGACAAAACCCATTTGCTTTCTTTGGGCCAAGTCTGAGGCCGCACCTACAGGAAGCGAAAGCAGATGCCAGGGCCCCACCTTGCAGGAAGGTGCGGAGCTGCCCAGACAGGCTTGGCAGAGGCTGGGGCTCACCCATCATTCTCCGCAAATGTTAGGAGACAAAAGAACCCCACTGCCACAGGACAATCTCGATGTTCTCTGAGGTTTCTGTGATTCTACAGTAGGACAATGTCCTTGGTTCCAATTTCAGCTTTCTCCTTGTGTCTTCCGGGAAGGCACACTTAGTGAGCTGGAAGGGCCAATCTCTGGCAGCTAGGAGACTGCCCCACAGAGGATGTGTGTGCGGCTGGCCAAGCTGCACGGAGGCCGGGCTCGGCCAATGTGTAGGCTCCTCGTGAGACTAGAAATAGCTCTTGGAAGAAAATTACAGGCCCAGAGTGAGCCTGCTCTGTTGACTGCATGGTCTCCTGAGACAGCCTTAGCACCTGGGTTCTCCCAAACCATGACACTGCGGAACACTTGTGTGCATTCAAACACTTGTATAACTTCCCCAGAACTGCTCTCTGCCACCATGCAAACCCAAATCCTCTGCACACGTCTTACCATAGGAGGCCCGGGGGTGGTTCCCCACTGATGTGCCTTCCGAGGTCCCAGCCGGCTCCCCCGCTGACCCTGTGAGAGGGACGGTGCTGTCATCATTGGCCTTGGCACCTGGTAGCTCTTTAAATACCGGGGACTCTGCTTCCTGAATTTTCCCGAGGCTTTCATCAGACACTCGTGATAAAGCAGCTTCTTTTTGTAATTTGCCTAAAGAAAATATAGCCATAATTGAAAATGCCGAAATAGAGTTCTTGTTATTAAAAAATGAATATAAAAATGAATATTTGTAGATGGGATTGGGAGGGAGATAAACCATAAGTGACTCCTAATCTCACAAAACAAACTGAGGGTTGCAGGGGGGAGGGGGGTTGGGAGAGGGGGGGTGGGGTTATGGACATTGGGGAGGGTATGTGCTATGGTGAGGGCTGTGAAGTGTGTAAACCTGGTGATTCACAGACCTGTACCCCTGGGGAAAAAAATATATGTTTATAAAAAATAAAATTTAAAAAAAAAAGAAAAAAAATGAATATTTGTCTTTATACTTTAGTACTACTTACTTGGGAAATGAAAAAAATATAGTTACAGCTAGATAGAAAAAAATAAAGTGGAGAGTTCAATTATCTGGGAAAACTGAGCCAGAAAATTCAGCTACTGAGTACAAGAGGGGGGCTCCGGCCTCAGTTCTCTCCTCCAAAACCAACAAATAGAGATGGCTAGATTCGGTCCCCACGGTCCTGTCCAGGGCCAGCATTCTGTAATCCTACAACCATCTGGAATGGTCTTCTGTGTTCTTAAACTAACTTCAAAATCACTGAAATGTTTATCCTTTTTGTCTTCAGAGCTATTAGTTATAGTTTGTTTGGTTTTCTTCTGTTCAATAAATTATTGGTCTCCGATTTCTTCAGGTCACCAAATCTTAGGAAACAAGTAAATCATCTTCCAAAAAGGAACAGAGAGATCCTACTTACTTTTAAAAATCCTTTACTTTCAAAAAAAAGGAGAAGGGGTTTTTTAAAAAGCTGCTCGAAAGCTCTGTAGCATTCTTTTTAATCAGATCTGATAAGCGGTGCGGCTGATTTAATGATCTCGCTGCTTGTAAATTCTCCTGGGCAAATCTCTAAGCTCTTACCTACAAAACTAAAATGTAAGTATTCTCAGTTCCTCTGCTGGATACACTCACAGCATCTCCATCACCTCTCTCTATTAAGAGAGTCGGAAGAAACACACACAGATCTTCCGAAATGACACTTCTGTTCTGTACTATAGGGAACGAAGAAAGGTACACACACATCTCCTACCACAAGGCGCTTATAATCAAAATGAGAGAAGGTAATATTTGTAATGATAACAATAATAAGCAAAATTGTTAACGCTTACATGAGACAGGTTTCATTATTTTCTGCTTTTTATTAATGAGCACACTGAGGTACAGAGATTAAGTCATTTGCACAGAGTCACCCAAGTGGTAAACTGCAGGCAGTTTAGCACTACGGTTCATGTCCTTGATCACTAGAGTGTACTTAAAACAACCAAACAAGAAATATATACTGAAATAACAAAGATGGCACTGACCAAAAAGAAAAAAAAAATTTCCTGGGAAGCCAGAATGGGGAGGAAAGTCAGTTTCCTGCTGTTATATTAATAGCCTTAAGATGGAAAGTGAAGATTTTATAGTCTATTTGACAAGAATGTTCAGATAGTAGGAAAAGCCTTTAAACGTCAAAGCATTTAAGTATGGGCTTCAGTCAGGCCAGCGGCATGTGTTAAGTGGCTCATTTTAGGCAGCGGCAGCTACTTACCAGCCCATCACTGACGTGGCTTTACTACTGAGTCTGACGTTGTATGTATTAATTAATGTGGATCTTTTTAGTATTCGTTTTTAAATTTATGCAGTAAGACTATGTGCGTATATGTGAGTCCTTCCTGATGGTGAGACCTGTCTGGATCCGTGTAACCCTCACCACAAGCAGGATACAGAGAGATTCCATCACCTCCCAAAGCTCCCCCTCGTAGTCAGACCCCCTGCCCAGCTCCTTGGCAACCAATGACTTGGTCTCTGTCCCTACAATTTTGCCTTTTTCAGAATGTCGTATAAATGAAACCACAACATTTGTGATTTTTATAAAAATTTTAAAAAGGGAAAAAACTTTTGTGAGTGGATGAAACAAAGCGTTTTTAGATGTGACACCCAAAACACAACTTAGAAAAAAAAGAAATTGGTAAACTACACTTCGTGAAGATTAAAATCGGTGAGAAACACTATTAAAAGAATGAAAAGACAAGCTACAGATTGGGAGGAAGTTATTTGCAAATCCCCTGACAAAGGGCTTGTATTCAGAACATAGAGAGAGGGGCGCCTGGGTGGCTCAGTGGGTTAAAGCCTCTGCCTTCAGCTCCGTTCATGATCCCAGGGTCCTGGGATCAAGCCCCGCATTGGGCTCTCTGCTCAGCGGGGAGCCTGCTTCCCTTCCTCTCTCTCTGCCTACTTGTGATCTCTGTCAAATAAATAAATAAAATCTTAAAAAAAAAAAAAAGAACATAGAAATCTTTGAAAACAGCAGTTAAAAATGAGCAAAAAATAAGAATACACAGTTCATCAGTAAAGCTATATAAATGGCAAGTAAGTCCTGTTAGTCATTAAGGAAGTACAAATTAAAATCATAAGATATCACTACACACTGATTTGAATGGCTCAAAATAATATGGACAAATTTTATGCATTTTATTTCTTTCCCTAAAAGTCATATCACTTTCTATTTTCATTTAAATCTATGACACACTTGGTTAATTTTTCTTTTTTTTTTACAGGTGTGAGGCTGAAGTTGAGGTTCTTTTTCTGCATACAGATGTCTAAATGTTCTAATACCATTAGTTGAAAGATGACTCTCCACTGAGGTGCCTCTGTACTTTGTTGAAAATCAATGTGCTGTATTTGTGTGGGTCTATTTCTGGACTTTAGTCTGTTCTGTTAACGTGGGTATCTATTTTTTCACTAATACCACATATCTATTTTTTCACTAATAGCACACAGTCTGGTTGCTTTATATGAATCCTATGAATCTGCCAACTTGTTCTTTTTCAAAATTGTTTTTGGCTATTCTAGTTCCTTTACCTTTCCATATAGATTTTAAAAGCAACTTGTCTAAATCTACAGAATATCTTGCTGGGATTTTAATTTAAATTTTATTAAATCTAGGGAGCAATTTAACAAGAACTGACATCTTAACTCTTACAGGGCCTTCCAATTCATGAACATGGTATGTCTCCTCATTTGTTTTGCTCTTCTTTGAAATGTGGGTTTTCAAATTCTGATATGTCCACACTGAAACACAATTGTAAGGCACACTCTGAGGCCAAAAGTAAATACTTCTTTTCTTTTGAGAGCCCTATAAGAGCATGTGGCCTCACGGCTTGCAATTATGTTGCTAGTGACAGAAAAACAACTCTGGCAACTTTCTGACCCATATTCTTCTTTAAAAAAAAAAAAATGTGTTTGTTGAGGTGTAATTTATACATAAAAAAATAATACATTTTAAGTGTATAAGCAGATGACCTATGATGAATGAGTACATCCTATAAACACTCCCCCAACTGGGACAGAGAACATTTCTAGGCCCCTGGAATGCTCCCGTATGTCCCTTTGCTATCAGCCTCCTGTAAACTCCCTATCACCTCCAGCACCCAGTGGTTTCTATCACTGTAGATTAATTTTCTCTAGAATCATACAGTATATACTCTTGTATCTGGCTTCTTCTACTCAAAGCAATGTCTATGAAATTCATTATGCTGTGGGTAGTTCATTCTCTTTAGTGCTCAGCAGGTTTCTACTGTATGAATAGACCACAATTTGGTTATTCTTTCACCTATGTAGGAACACTGGGACTGTTTCTAGTTTTTCCTGTTATGATAGAACGACTATATACAAGTCTTTTTATGAATGTGTGTTTTCACTTTTCTTGGATAAATACCTAAGAGTGGAATTACTGGTTCATGTGGTAAATGTAAGCTTAACTTTACAGGAAACTTATTCTAACTTCTGGAGCGGTTGGACCTCTTACATTTCACTGTGAGCGCACGAGAGTTCTAGTTATCCCACCTCTTCATCAACTTCGAGATAGTTCCTTCACTTTTAGCCCTTCCTGTGGGTGTGAACTGATATTATATTATGGTGTTAAAATGCATTTCCCTGCATTTTCCCTAATGTTTTTCATCGGGCCGGTAGAACCTGACCAAACAGTTAACTTGTAGTTATCCGAGGCAAGCAGGACCTTACTGCTCACTCAAGTCACAAGTTACTAAGAAAAAGTTTGAGGGGGAAAGTAGGCAGGAGCCAAGAGACAAGGATGGGGCATGTATCTCGGTGCTGTGTTCCAGAGTCATTGATGCCTCCAGTTTCCTATGTTAGTAAGGGTGATGGTGGATTACACCTGAAGCCCCAGGAACCAGGGATTTTGTGAATCAGAGGAAGAAAAAAGCCCTTACCTGCTATTTTCCTCCGCATCCACGGACACACAAAGAGCCATACAAAAAGGGCGAACAGCAGCGCGACACCCAAGGAGAGGAGCGCTATCGCCCACATGGGAAGGACCAGACCAAGCCCTGGGAAGTAAAAGGACAGCGGAATCGTCAGCGGATACTTGCTGAAAAGTCAAGCCTCGTATCAACAAAACTTTACATTTCCTAAATCCAAAATGAATCACCTGGACTTTGTATTTAATAAAACTCTCAACCAAAAAAAAAAAAAACAAAAAACAACAACTACAATTTTGGGGGCAGGAAGGAGGGTGTGTGTTTAAGACACACTCCATCTTGTCACTGTGTGGCTAAACTGTGTAGTAGTAAGCCAACTATTAACATCTTACCAAGGCGGCTCAAACAGTGCATTAAGTTAAAATAAAGCCATTTACTCATTATCTCAACACCGAGACTCTGGGGTGGACAAACATGGCCAAGAAGGGGCTCTGCCGTCTTCTGCCCGGCCGCCAGTCCCCTCCCAGGCAGTGAGGAGCCGAGGTCTGGAAGCCTCCCTGCACATGGCTGCTGACTACTGTCTGTCTGCGTTTCTGAGGAGTCAGCAGCCCTGCTTTAAATGGCCAGGACACTCTGACCACATCCACAAACTTTTTCAAAGTCAGCTTGGAAACAAAAGTTTTTTTCAAAGGACACTGACCTTCAAACTTAAGTCTTCTTTGAAGTGTCAACTCATGGAATTACAACACAGAAAAACTTTTCATTAAAATTCAATAATGCGCACTAAGTTGCAGTTACAATAGCCAATAAAAGGGGCGAAGGGCACATGGTTGAGGAATATCCCATTCTCCAGGCACTGTACTGTCTCCAGAACTCATCACTCCGCGTCTTGTATGCTTCGTTCACTGCTGGCACCAGGCAACGTGTCACCCGCATTCCCAGGTTTCTACTTAAACAAGCATCCTTGCGCAGGAACGAGCAGACGTGTACAATACTCCCATGGCATTATGTGTAGCAGTAAGAACGTGCAAGATAGTGAATATGTGCATCATTACGGAAACATGAAATAAAAACGAGGTCGATCTCTGTATACTGGTTAAGGAAGAGACCCACGATCTAGTAAGGAAGAAAGGCCGCCTGGATGTATATCATGATCCAACAGGATTAAAAAAGAAAACCCCATATTTATACTCTTCCCAGACGCACAAGTGTGTAGAAAAAGTTCTGGAATGATACAAGGGCTCTTCCTGTAGAGAGACAGGAAATTGGAGGGGGCTTTCACTTCTCACTACATATACTTTTGTACTTTTGGACAACATGTAATAAGCATGTCACTTTTGTAAACTGTTAAATATGTTTTTAAAAGTTTTAAAGGAATGAACTATTTAAAGCCTGGCTCTCTGCTCTTGGATTACATAAATCTTTCATGATGCAGGCTTTGTTACACTGCTAACCATTTCATACATACAAAACCAGTCAATGTTATTCAATTAAGGTATTATTAAACATTTTGGTAACTGTAAGAGGTACAATGGGTAGTTAATACTGTGAGAGCCATGATTAGCCTATATAAAGAGGAAAAACAAAAAACCAGAATCACCTAGTTTAATTATAGCTCAGGGATCACCGGTGGGAGTAAGGACACTCAGAGCTCGATAATCCATTCCGAGCACTCACTCTGACGTCATGAAGCTACGGACTCAGGCCCAGGTGGTGGGGGGGGGGGGGGGGTGGGGGCTGGGCCCTGTTAGCTGGCAGCCCAGCTCCTGCTCTGGTTCTGCCACTTGTAAAACCACTCAGGCTCCCCTCACTGGGCTGTACCCGTGGGCCTTGGCTTCCTGTCTTCTGCTTTACAACTTCACATCAGTGTCTTAATACATGTGATAAAAAATCACGCCAAAGCTGGTTCTTGCCAAACAGAGTAGTAACTGTTAATTGGCAACATCGAACTGATAAACTAAGAACAGCACCAATCACTCTTATAGCTTAAAAGGTTTTTTTTTGTTTGTTTGTTTGTTTTTTTGAGAGAGAGAGAAAGACCATGAGCAGTGCGGGGGTGGGAAGGGTAAAGGGAAAAGCAGACTCCCCGCTGAGCAGGGAGCCCGATGTGGGAATCAGTCTCAGGAACCTGGGATCATGACCTGAGCTGAAGGCAGATGCATAACTGCCCGAGCCACAGGGGCCCCAAGTATTTGGTTTTTGAAGAGATTTTCTTTGTGCCTTCTACTTTAGTTGATAAAATTGTTAACTGTGCTACGTTTAGCTTCATTGTGTAAATCTGATGTAAGAGAGGCAAGTCCTGGATACTGTGGGAAAAGAGAATCTGGAGATATATATATCTTCAGAGATTTTATATATTATCTACCTCTCTATAATCTATTTTATTTTTATTTATTTATTTTAAAGATTTTATTTATTTATTTGACAGACAGAGATCACAAGTAGGCAGAAAGGCAGGCGGCGGAGGGGTGGGTGGGTGGGGGTGGGAAGCAGGCTCCCTACTGAGCAGAGAGCCGGATGTGGGGCTCAATCCCAGGACCCTGAGAGATCGCAACCTGAGTTGAAGGCAGAGGCTTAATCCCCTGAGCCACCCAGGCGCCCCCTGTATAATCTATTTTAAATGAGTGAGCATGTTTGCTCTTGGGCACTCTTTTTTTCCATCCATGCTGAGTACAACCACAATAAAAGCAGAGAAGGGCTGCTTTCGTTCCTTCCAAGCCCGTCTTCATGCTTTCTACTGGGGTCCCATGGGAACCCTGAGGTGTCAGGACCAACAACCAAAAAAGAGAAACTGAGGTTGGCTACAAGACTTTTGATCCTTTGCCTTGACAAAAAGCCACACCACCACCTGCCCTTGGTAGCTCTATCATCACAATCTCTTTCGCCATCAGTTTGGCCTGGGTAGTGGCCAGAAAGCTCTGAGGTCACCCTAAGTCACGAGAAACTGGAAGGGAGCCTAGGGGATAAACAAATCACTGAGGGCAGAAGTGGAGGAGAGACAGTAAAAAAAAACAAGGAAGAGAAAAACCAAAGGAATTCAGGAAAATGGTGAAAGTCATTGATAACGAAAGCAGAGAGGAAAAGAATGGGGACAGAATTTGGATTTGACCAAACTACTCTAGCAATTTAGTAACGTACGAAGGCAGCAAACGAACACAAAGATTCACTTTAAAAGCCATCACATAAGACATGCAAACGGACTGTTAACATCACATTGCTGTGATTGGTACTAAATATACAAAAGCAAGTTTCATGGATAACAAACAAGTACAAAAATTCGGCGTAGAAAGGCACTTGAATCAATGCACATCTGAGGCAAAACTTTTGACAAAACTACTTTGCCTTGTCTTCCTGTGAGGATCTCAAACTGCTTTCCAACATCACACCTTAAGTTGGCAGTAAGACACAGGGTGCCTCGTCACTCTGTGGACACGGAGCGAACTGCTCCCTTCCCTCGGCCAGGAGTGGCCACGGGAGCCCACACAGGACACCGACACCAGGGCTGTGAGGCCCAGCCCTCCGACCCAGGCACGCGATGGCCGTGCAGCTCAAGCTCTTTCCAGTTTCTCAATAGCTAAGACCAGATGACCAGGGATGCGGCTCTAACCTCGAACATCTTCACAGTTCGATCTCAAATCCCTAAGGATCAGAATATGCAGGAGACTTTTCAGAAACACTATCTTCTGGGTTCATTACTTTGTTACACCTCTTGTTTCTCACCTCTGACGGTCATTGTCAGAAACTACAGAATAAAAGCAACTCCTATAAAACCAATAGGGCATTAACTATATATTACTTCCCTTATACCCCCACTTCTCAGCATCTCTCCACAGCCTTCCTTCTTCTCTAATTTTATAAATAATATATGCTTACTATGAAAATATCAGTACAAAACTGTATGATATACAATTATAAAAATTCCTCATCACTCTTCTTTCTTAAACCTACTTTCTAGAGAAATACTATCAACGATTTTGTGTTTCTCTTTCCAGGTATTTTCCAAATATAAACATACAGCATAAAATGCTTGTGAGGATCTTTTTCTTCCTTTGTTAAAAAAATGAACAGATATAGAATCAAACTGATATATTGTTCTGCGACTTCATTTCCCATATACAATACATCGTGGACATCTTTCCACAGTCTCACACACACACTCACACACGCACACACTCACCCCTTTACCTCATGTGCAGATGCTGATGCTGCTGGGTGAGGGACCACACTTTGACCCGGAAATTAAACACAACTGCTAGAGGTGAGCTTAGACTATCAGCTCTGGCAGCCCAAAGTAGCATGCAATGAACCTCAGTGCTCATTCTTTCAAAACTGACCAAAACCAGGTCCCACACAACTGGAGACTTTTTCATTACAAATAAACCTCAGGCCTTTATCCAACCCAAGTGAGCACTTTATTTCCTAAAGTTATTTTTGCTTCTTGCATTATTTTTTTAAGGACAAAAATACAGAGACAATTTTTTAAAGTGCTCAGGCTTTGAAGTAGAAGAATGACTTTTTTTTTTTTTTGAGAAAAGTCACGTCAAATGCAAAGTAAAACAAATCAAACTCAGCCTAAGATATAAACAACTTCAAAATAATTTAGAATGGAGGAGCAGAGAAATCAAAACACAGCACTAGAGCTCAACAGCCAATGAGCCCCACTGAAGTCATGTCCATGCATAAAAATGCTATTTATCAAAAGTTCTTACGGCTGAAACGGGGTAAGATTAATGTTGCTACTCATTTTTGTGAGGGAATTTCGCTCCTTCCTTTTGCCTCTGAGGCAGCTACGTGTTGAACGGAAATGTTCTAAGGAGGGAGGGGAACTAGGAGGAATACATTCCAGACCAGCAGGAAGGCAGACAAATTTTGAAAGAGACTGACTGAGTCACCGTCGAAGGGACCCTTCTCAGCTCAGCCTTATCACCAAATATGACACCACTGCTATCAGGCAGAGTGGAGCACTAGACAATGGAAGTCTGGTTTGAAGGGCAAAAGTTAACCTTTGCTTAAATAAACAGAAGATCTGGACGCACTTAATGGTATTCTACAAACGTGCCCCAGGAACAAAATATTAGCAAAGTCCTTTTCTGACTTAGTGGGGAAACAAAATGACCTTCTTTTCTTTCCTTCTCCTCTACTCAAGCCCTCCCCACCCCCCCCACCCGCCCGGGAAACTTCAAGTAAGAAGCTTTCCAAACTGACATGTGTGGAAAAAATAAAAAGATAGGATGACTCAGGATATGCTGGCAACTTGAGGCGGAAAAGATGAGGCTACTTATGATTGACGGTCACAAAATAGGCCCTAAAACGTATTGCGAGTCACTATGGGCCGGGCACTGTGTGTGCAACCTGCCTGCATTGTCTCAGATAATGTGGTGGCCTTTCGCGGAAGGCTCAGAGAGGTGAGATGTGACGTTCCTGACAGCATAGCTGCCCAACCAAAGTCCTTAATGTTAACCCCAGCGTGGCGAATACTATCTGGGCTTTCAAATGAGGAATGATCCTGGAGGTTCTTGTACAGATGTTTTAATATCCCTAATTAAAAGAGGTAGTGGGGCGCCTGGGTGGCTCAGTGGGTTAAAGACTCTGCCTTCGGCTCAGGTCATGATCCCAGGGTCCTGGGATCGAGTCCCGCATTGGGCTCTCTGCTCAGCAGGGAGCCTGCTTCCCCCCCTCCCCACCGCCTGCCTCTCTGCCTACTTGTGATCTCTCTGTCAAATAAATAAATCTTTAAAAAAAATACTAAAAGAGGTAGCTACTCTTTTTACAGTACCCGTATATTAAATATATACAAAAACATAGAACCAGGTTTCTAAATGTATTAGAAGCGTTTTTTTTTTTGAAAGAGAAAGGGAGAGAGAGAGAGCAGGAGGAGAGGCAGAGGGAAAGAATCCTAAGCAGGTTCCATGCCCAGCATAGAGGCCACCGTGGGGCTCAATCTCACGACCCTGAGATCATGACCTGAGCCAAAATCAAGAGTTGGATGCTTAACTGAATGAGCCACTCAGGAGACCACACTGGAAGCCATTTGTAAAGAGAATGAAAAGAAGGGGAAGAATGTATGAAGGTTGGTGTATTTTTGTTTGTGTTTGAAGTAGGCTCCAAGTTTAGCGCTGACTGTCATTAACAGTGACAGGAGGGACCAGGAACTGTGTAGCAGGTATCTAACCCATGTCACGTGTCAGTGTAACGTCATCACACAGAACCCGGGGCTCGGGAGTACGATTCTCTACCTCACTAGTTACATGCCCTTGGAGACTCAGCTCTGCCGTGCCTCGCTTCCCTGTCTGCACTGCCAGGGGACCAAAAGGATTAATTCATGTGTGATTCAGCTCACTAAAACTCAGCATTTATATTCTTTCTTTCTTTCAGCCTCCTTGTGAAGTACTGATGTTATCCTTAGCATCTCATCCATCATACAGTTCAGTTTTCTCTACAATATTTACTACTCCCCTCAGATGATTCTCTCAGCAAATCTGCAGTAAAACTGCAGCAAATGATGAGGAAACAGGAAAGAAGAGATGGAAAAAATTAGACCAAGTACAGAATAAGGCAAATTTTACTTAAAATCACACAGTTGATCTCTGACGTTCAGAAGAACCACCAGAAGCAAGAAGCATAGAGCGTAGAAAAAAACAAAATACAGAAATAAAAATAAATCATCCTCATTTATAACAATTCCCATTTCTGGGACATGTTACTACAAAGGCATCCCCAGCCTCCCCTCAGTCCCCAAAATCACTAAGCCGAGAGGTGGCTGTTGACACCGGCTGGGCTTTTCCTTCCGCCACTCTGTGCTCTGGGAGCCGATATAAAATTAAGAACAAGAGTCCCTGGAACGTCTGGGTGGCTCAGTGGGTTAAGTCTCTGCCTTGGGCTCAGGTCATGGTCTCAGGGTCCCGGGATCGAGCCCCGCATCAGGTTCTCTGCTCAGCGGGAAGCCTCCTCCCCGCCCCCCCGCCTGCCTCTTTGCCTGCTTGTGATCTCTCTCTCTGTCAATAAATAAATCTCTCTCTCTCTCTGTCAAATAAATAAATAAATAAAATCTAAAAAAAAAAAAAGAACAAGAGTCCCGAGAAGCGAGGAGATGGGATGCACGCCGCAGCTCCACGACGGCTCTTTCCCATCCTGGTGCTCAGGGCCGGCTGAGTGCCGTGTGAACATTTCGGGACAGTCACACTTGGTGGTGGGATTAACTTTGTGGTGCAGAGCTATGTTCTCCCCACATCCAATTTTCTTATGTACTGAGAAGACAGTCTGTGACACACACCCTTCCCAGTCCATAAATTACAAAACGCCCGGGGCCACCAGGCTGCTCATATCGGAGACTGGGGTTCCATCCCTCTCAGCTCTCCTAGTCCCCACGCGCTTCGGCTTTGTGCTTTCCATATAACTTAAGGCAGCTGTGATGCTCTACCCCCGGGCTCCCACCCAAAGTCTGGAAGTCCTGATCGTGAGTATTTAAACCCTGAAAATTAACACTCTGAATGCTGCAGAGAGGCCAAATCAGAAAGTTATGTGATGTTAACATTCATTCAGAAAAAGTTTCTTATGTGCAGTACTGAAGTACACACACATAATTATATATGTCTGATAAAATAAAATCTGAGAAACACGGCCTTGATGACACTGAGTTTGAGGAATTCGCAAGGACATTCCCCCATTTTGGAAAAGGGTACTTCTCAACTGTTATGACATGCTACTTAGGGGAAATTTTATCTTTTTGAACAGGAAGAAGGAGATTTTGGTCAGATATGGCCGATAACTGAATCTTACTCCATAAAGAATATTCACAAGAAGAAAAATAACACAAACCATCTGCTGACTCCAGATATCCCCACAGTAACAGGTATATTTGGGATCTCGCTGTAGGAGGCCACCACAAAGAGCAGTGGGAGGAAACCTCTCTACCAAACCATGTACAGAATGATTTTCATTGGAATGCTCACCATACTGAAATGTTTGCCAATAGGAACACCACGTCTGTCTCTCTTTAGCCATCCAAAATGCAAAAGAAAACAACTTTTAACCCTGCACCTCCCAAAGCCCCTAAAAACCTAATAAGAAGAACAAAAGCTTTCAGAATGGGAAGAAGTAATTCTGAAAATAAAATCACCACTGATTTCAGCATCTTAAAAAAGCAGGGGGTGGGGAGGTAGCGTCCACTCACTGGATTCTTTGGTCAGACAAATGCCAGGGAATTTGGCGTTTGTGCCACAGGCCACGTCAGAGCTGCCTCTGCATGTCACCGACGTGTGGCCGCTACCATTCACGTGCGCTCCCCTCCACCCCCCAAACGCCTCCATGGCTCAGGGGAGGTGCTCAGTGTTAGACCCTGTGCTGAGACTCAGCACAGGAAGGCCACGGTGGTTCCACAGCAGCACAAAAGGCAGAAGGAGGGCTTCAAATTTCTTTTTTCACTTGAAAATCTGTTTGTTGCCTTTGTCCTTTACATACTTCTTGAGTATTTAAAACAAAGACATGCATTTACTACTCTTTTTCCTCCTCCGTAATGAGCACGAAGGAGGTTTTTTACTGTCAGCCAACAACAGTGTGCCCAATGAGACTGAAGTCTAACGATACACACCTTGCCTGCTGAATTTAAGCTTCCGAGGAATTCTTACCTGGTGCTCCCGTGTACATGATGGAAAACACATTTATTGCTATTGTAGCTGCATAGAACACTGGGAGTGCCCGCAGGCCATTGGGAACAGGGTCCTCCTGTATGATAATGAGATAAAGTGGAAGGTCAGGATTCAGGAAGCCTCTGGAGCCAACACAGGCAAAATGATAGAAAACACTGTTACGAGAAAGGCTTCCAAACAGTGGTGTGGCCAGAATGGCAGGCCGTGTCGCTGCCGTGTGACCTGTTGCACATCAGCCTGGGCCGTGTCTCCTACAAAAACGCTGTTTCAAAGAGCACTATTGTGGCCAGGAGACGCACTGAAGCGCTAGAATCACATGAGCTGATGTCAGATTTAGAAACAGAGCGGAGCTGTGAGGTTAAGCCAGTCCCTGGGGACCGAAGCCCAGAGCTCAGCATCTGCTTCAAAACTGGTGGCGCTCACTCCTCCAGCGAAGTTCAGGTTTGGCCCTGAAAATCTGCTTGCAACCAATATCTTGAGGCTCAGCCCTCGGAGGAGGCGTTCAGAGAGCCAAGTGACTTAAACACCACTGCAGTACTGGGAGATTTTACTTCACCCTATTACACAACACATTTTAGCTCTATTAAAATGTATAAGGCAAATATATTACCATGGGCTGTGATTTTTTAAGATCGTTTCATAAAGCATAATATTTAACCTTCAACTACGGAAAGTTAAAAAGAACTGGGGGTTCTTTGTCTAATAAAACATTTTTTTACAACTTGAGGCTTCTGGTACATTCCCTAAATCTAATACTTTGACAAGAATAGTACTGCATATGTTTCACACTAAATAACATCTGAGAGAATATTTGAAATGGAGGGTTTTAAGAAGATCTACAGAACTTATCGAAGCAAAAATATGGACTGGAGTGCCTGGGTGGCTCAGCTGGTTAAGCATCTGCCTTAGGCTCAGGTCATGATACCAGGGTCCTGGGATCAAGTCCCAAGTCGGGCTCCCTGCTCAGTGGGGAGTCTGCTTCTCCCTCTACCTGCTGCTCCCCCTGCTTGTACCTTCTGTGTCTCTCTGACAAATAAATAAATAGATAAATTCTTTAAAAAAATAAAAAACCATAGACTGGGAACTCCTCAGTACAGCACTGGCACGTTAGATGTCACTTAAATCATTCCAACAACGTCTAACTTCTAATAACCACATAAGACACTGGTGTTTATATGAATCTGCCACCTACCCATGATAAAAAGAAAATGAGATCTAAGAACTACTGTGGCCTCAGGAGTAAGGAGAAGTAGAGACTAAGATTCCTCCTACCAAATGCAAACGTGTATGGAAATCAAGTGTGTCTGCAGAACAGTACAACCCATTAAGAACCTATTCTGGAATGTCTCAAGTGGCCATCAGCACTTGTCAAGAGGCTTGAGTTGAATGGCAATGGGGTATAAGGACCAGTAAGAGCGGGTGTCGCAAGTGATTCAACTGCATGAGACTCATAGCCAGACCAACAAACAGGAAGAAGCCAGGACCCAGGGCAGGAGCAGGGATGAGGTACAGTGCTCTTCCAACCTGTCGTGTATCAGGTGACAAGAACCCAGGTCCCGCTACGAACGAAATGCTCGGGTGCTCAAATGCCCACTGCCCCTGGTTTCCAAAACGTTCTCTCAGGACGAGAGGTGCTGAACAAAGACACCCACCCGGAAACCTGGGAAGGTGTACAAGTGTTGAGTTTATGGTCTTTTTAATTGAATCACTTTATTTTTTCTCAAATAACTTATTCTTAAAACTCAAATGCCAATTGCCTCCAGACCTGTCTTCTCTCCTCCCTCCTGGCTCTCTCCCTCCCTCCTTCTTTCCCTCTCTCCTTTCTTTCCTTCCTTCCATCCATCTATCCATCATCTGCCACTTATCTAAGCATCTGTCGTTCCCTCTTAAATATTAGTGTCTTCCCAAGCACAGTGCTGGGCACTGGAACACCAAAGTGAACAAGACAGTCATGGCTCTACTTTCACAGATCTTACAGTCGGATGACAAGCAGGCCAGCACGTAAGTCATACACCACCACACAGCACAACAGTGCAATGGTAAGAAAAAACAGCATCATAGAAGCATGAGAGGGAGGGACGCAACCAGAACTGGGTGGGAGAAGAAGGTTTTCAAGGAAGTGGCCCATAATGGCTGGGGAGCAGCAGGAGTTTGCCAGGCAAGGATGGGTTCCAGGCAGAGGAAGTCGGAAAAGTGAAGTCTAGCAGGCAAGAGAGGGTGGCACCTTCCAAGATGTAAATAAATATTAGTATGGAGGGAGCCCAAGAGAAGGAATGTAGCTTTGTACGGATCCAAGAGAAGGGAATCCTCCGGTAGACTGCCAGGCAGCGCCAATGGGAAATAGCGGCGTCTTCAAGTGAGGATACACTTGAGGGAAGACCTGCCCCACACGTGCTCAGTGCACGCTGCGACACAGGAACCCGGGGCCTGCCTTAGGGCGTATAAAATATTGCAACAACCCCTTGATGGTCAAAAAAATACAAGCAAGTTTTTTCCTCCAGAATAGGGATCTTAGTAAGTTCTAATTTCAATTTCCTTTCATTCTTGATAAAATCTACCCCCAATAAGTATATTTCCTTCTTTTCATCCTTTCCTCAGGGAGAAGAAAAAGTCAGTGTCTCAAGCTTGCTTTTTCTCTGTTAAAATATAGAAAACACTTCATATTTGGGAAAAGAAATTTTCCAGGTGTGCGTAGTGGTAGTCAACTTCAAAATCTTCACACTATCACTCTCTGTTCTATTTAACATTCAGGAAAGAATTACTCTTCCTTTTCTGAGGTCTGTGTGCAATGCCAGGGAGCACTGACTAATGAACTAAATCACAGGGCACGAAACACTATTTACAATGCTGCTTTCTGGGGGAGCCCCTTAGTACTCTACCTTGGCTTACTCTGCCGACTTTATTATTTTTTTAAGATTTTCTTTTTAAGTAATCTTTATACTCAATGTGGGGCTTGAAACTACAACCCTGAGATCAAGAGTGACATGCTCTATGGACTGAGCCAGCCAGCCGCCCCTTTTGGCCTACTTTAAAATAAAGTCTAATTCTAACTGCAGGTTGCCGTGCCTTAACAAAGTAAAAATACAATCATTCCTCTGACTCCTTAACTATTCATTTCTATTAAATAGAACCAAATTAGTTCTAAAACTTAATAAAAACATAACAGCCTCACTTACCTTCTTTAGGATGAAAATTCTGATCAGTACAAACAGCACGCCAGACATGAAACCAGACAACAGTGGAGATATAAACCAAGAAGCAACTGAATAATTAAAAAAAAAAATCTAATGAATGTTAAAATTCTACGTAAGTCATATTTATATAATAGAATGATAACCAACACATAGTACCAACATTAATAGATATTGCTGGAATTATTCACCTTAACTCAGAACCCAACCGACGCTACTTCCCTGGCAGGGCTGACCGTCACACGTGCACAGCTATCCTCACACACAAAGTCCCGCGTCCGTGAGCACTCTCCCAGCACACGGTCAGGTAAGGGATCCCCGAGCCTGGCCTCGGAAAACAGTCTCCTGTGATTCCCTCTGAGCCCCTTCTGTCTGTTCTTCTTACCCATCCACAGATGGAGACCTGGTCCTTGCTCGACAGTAAAGTTATTTAAAAGGAGAGCCACCTTCCATTTCATTTTCCTAGGTCAGCCTGGTACTGCCATCCTGGCACTGTGGCTCAGCAGTTCCCATCTTGGCTGCACACTGAAAACATCTGGGGAGTTCTCAAACACCAGTTATGCTCAGGTTCCACCCCCAGAATTTAGATTTAAAAGGTGTGGAATGGGGTTGTGGGCATTGATATTTTTTAACTGCTTCTCCAGCTAATTCTCAAGTACAGCCAGAGTTGAGAGACATTGTTCTAGAAGCCTCCTGAGATCTAAGGTGATTTTCCCAGCCATCTGTGTCCCTGGCTTGGGAGGTCAGGGATCTGTTTAACCTAGAGCTCTTGAGGCCACTGTGATTCTGATACGGGTGAGTAACCCAGTGGGAGGAGATGGGGCAGGAGAATATTGTTCAGAATAGGTGGGTTTGTACTTACGGGGCTGAATGGATTTCCTCCCTCTTGCTAAAAGGCAGAGCCAGGAGGCCGACCACCAGACCTGTCATACCTGTCCCTGCTGGGCAGCCTACAACCCAGAAAGAGCACTAGAGTGTCTCTTCGGTGTATTACCCACATAGGCCTTATCTTCTAAAACTTAACATTTGAAAAAAAGAGAAAAGAAATAAACCTTAACATCTGAAGGGAAAAATAGATGATAATGGTGACTTTCAATAAGACTTACTCTAGAGAATGTAAACCGTGCTTCTGACAGGTAAAAGAAAATGGCAATTACCAATCTTGACGAGCTCCATCCACTGTACACCCTGTGTGCCAATCGCGACAAGTGAGAATCCTATGGTAGAACCGACAATGCAATGAGTGCCCGAGATGGGGAGTCTCAGGAAGGATGCAATCAACTGCCAAACTGCTGACCCTGTAGGGTGAGAGATTTAAAGAAAAAAAAAAAAAAAAAAGTCAGATATAGAATACAGTACCTCAAACAGCCACAAAAGGAAGAAATCCAAATTACAGTTCTCCATAACAGTATCTGCCTAGGGTTGATTTAAAAAAAAAAAAAGATTTTATTTATTTATTTGACAGAGAGATCACAAGTAGGCAGAGAGGCAGACAGAGAGAGAGGAGGGAGCAGGCTCCCTGCTGAGCAGAGAGCCCGATGCGGGGCTCGATCCCAGGACCCTGAGATCATGACCTGAGCTGAAGGCAGAGGCTTTAACCCACTGAGCCACCCAGGCGCCTGGCTAGGGTTGATTTTTTTAATGGATTCTTTCTTTACAGAGTGCTAAAGTCCTGACAAAAATCACTCACTTTAGTCAAAGGGACACTCTTCAACACCGAAGGGATAATGATGATTTATTGAAAATATTTCCAGAAAAGTCTCTCGATGCCAGTTATTAACTGCCTTTTCCACAGTTAGGTACAGGTGTTGACGATGAACTTGTTCTAATGTGAAGTGTGGCCAAGACCGAGCAAGAGATTACAGACTCTAGTGAACAAGAGAAGTAGGAAAGGCTGCATACTGGAAAAGATGTCACTGCAGTTAACCCTATGGTCACATAACAAGGAGGGCTAGACTCTGGTGAGGTCACATTGATTAGTCTGTAAGAGAGACTGTAATATGCAAACAGTGGATCATTACACTGTACACCTGAAACTAATCTAGCGTTACACGTCAGTGACACCTCAATGAAAAAAGAGAGCGTGTAATTCCACGTTGCTTTTTTGTATTTGTCTCTTTTGCATGAGAAGTCACTAAGACATTTAACCCACAGGTGGGCATCTGCTCTCAGCCCCTGACCAGAATGCCAGGCATTTTCTTGGTCTACTTTCTTGAGTCTTCTAATTCTTACCAGTTAAGAGGATCCTTAGCTTTGGCTTTGTGTCCTTTTACCTCAATTTCACCTCCTTTTCCAGGCTTAATGTTTTTCTAGGCTACAGGTCACTCCAGATATTTTCATAAGCAGATCAAATTTTGCAGCGTATTAAAAGCATCAGCTGGGCGAGATCACTTTCAGAAACAGTTGTTGAAAAGCTCATATAGAACTGTAAGGGAACAAAGGGCTTGGCTGATAAGCAGGGCACGTTATTAATCCCAAATGTTAATTCTGGAAATCTGATTGCTTGGCAGCAGCACTTTTAAGCGGATCCCTGGCATTTTCTACAAAAAGATCTGACTTAAAAAGGATCACTACTGGCTGTACAGGCCCTAGTTTGGGCAGCAATGCTGACCACTGCTCTGTAAAGCTGGGCATGTCCACCTGTGAGCCAAACTGGGCTCAACCCTGTCCGTGGCTACCCCTGAAGCATGTGCTGGGAGGAGGAGGGGCCGGCCCCGTGTTGCCAAACTGGTGACAGGCTCCGTGGCAGCAGCCAGGCCTCCCTGTGGACAATTCCTTAAGCCTTCCCATCTAAGCCCTGAGCTTCTGAGTGACTGACTAGTTTGTGTTAAAAATAGAGCCAGGGTTTAGAGCACGTTACATGGCACAGAGCTATAACTTGAGAAAGAAACTTTATGATTTCTATTCTTACAAACTGAAAATAATCTGGTGACGTTCAGAGAGGAGTATAAACTCACCCAGATGAATTCAGACCATGAGATTTTCTTTCCTGAAAGCTGCTATCCCTTCTCTGGCTGACTTTATAACATAGGTCCTGGAGCAGCAGGGTTTGTAAGGAAAGGTCAGGGAGGACAGGCCTGCCTAGTCAGGAAGGGGGCCAGGGGGTGAGAGGGGAGGGGCAGCGCAGAGGTTGTTGGAAAGGAGGGCAAGGCAGAGGCAGGGATTTGCAGGGCGCCTGGTAAAGTGAGAGCGCGAGGCCTCCTAAGCCTTGGGAATTTCCGAAGGCCAATGGGATTACACTAGTGTTAAGAAAAACAGTGGGAAAAAAGACAGAGATATTTTAACTTGAGATAATGATATCTTATAAAAAGGAAGGGATTAAGTGCGGAATAAAGGTATAAGACAAAATCTAGGGAAAGTTGGGGGAATGTGGGGAGGTGGCCGCGCAAAGGTGCCCGGTCACGCTGGAAGCAGACAGGCAGCGTGAGTGTGCTCAGCACAGGAAAAGGGATGGGGCACTTCTTACTTTGGTTCAAGAAGACTGCTTGTTCATGCTATTACAGATATTTCCATGAGAAGATGGTGAGTTCTGAACTCTCAGTAAATTTTTGGAACCATTGGTGGTTTCATACTAAGTGGACTGACTATTGCTTTAGGGCTGAGCTTAGTGTACAAAGGGGCTTAATTCTGGAAGTTGAGCTGGCAAAAATAATTTCTTCCACCCAACCAACCCAATGCTACCACCACTCTATCAGAAAGCACAGAGACCCAAGGGCTTGGGGAGACATTTCTAAAGAAAAAAGAAAGAACAGAATATGACAGGGGGAGATAAAGAGAGAAGAAATGGATATCGAATTTAGAAGAAGGAGAAAGGGACAATTCAGGCATTGGAAAAGAATCAGTTTTGGTTTTGGCCAATAATAATTATACCACCACCTTAAATTAACAAAGCTCTCAATTGCAAGGAACCCAATTCTAAAAATCTAGTAATTCACATAAATTCCCAACAAAATAGGCTTTGAGATTCATCTACCCATACACCAAAAGAGAAAGGAAGAAAAAAAGGAAGATTACAAGAAAGAAACCAAAGCAAACAACATCAAGTTATTCAAGCAAAACCTCAAATTGCTATGGTTAACCTAAATTCTAGTTGAGGTAAGTATTCTTCATTCTTCCAGTGGAGAGCCAAAGGCCAGGGTGGGAGAACTGAAAAACTGGACAAGTCATACTGCCCACATGAAAAGTGAGCAGTGACACGAAGCTCTGAGCTCACGAGGCTTCTAGTCTAAGCCGGGGCCTCTGTGCGGCCTCACCAACAAATCTCTTTATAAACAACACAACCATGCCAGGGTGCCCGGGTGGCTCAGTTGGTTAAGCATCTGCCAACTGCTCAGGTCATGATCCCAGAGTCCTGGGATCAAGTCCTGCATCAGGCTCCCTGCTCAGTGGGGAGTCTGTTTCTCCCTCTCCCTCTGCCTACAACCCCCTGCTTGTGTGTTCTCTCTCGCTCACTCTCTGATAAATAAATCTTAAAAAAATATAAATACAACTATTCCTCAGAAGTTTTATCCAATGACAGAAGAAGCTACTGTTAAAACTTAATTTTATAAATGCTTTATTTTCCCCCTACTTTCAACATTTCTTGCCCGTATCATCCTGACTAGAGAAATCTTAATTTTAGCTCGCTATGACTATGTCTTAATTCCTATCACGACAACCAAGCATGACTTTTAAAAAGAACTGTCATTTTTCTAAGGGAAATTTTACTTTTATCTGGCTATGATGAGAAATTTTACTTTTATCTGGCTATGATGAGAAACCAGTGAAGGTAAATAAAATCCAGTCATTAAAACAGCTGTTGTCATGAAAGCAATCATAAACCTTATGTCATTAAAACACAAAATGTTGAGAAACAGAACTCCTTAGCATGTATTACCAGTGTAGTGTGCTTGGTATTTAATACCTTAGTACATAGGAATTGGATATGGGTCAAACACCTCAACAATTTCTCAAACTAACCTGCTATTGCAAAAAGATGGTGGGCCATCTTATATTTGGTAAGTAATTTCCACATTCTGGGTGCTTCAGAAACGCTAGAGAGAGTCAAGAACTAGGGGCCTGTGGACTATAGCTGTGTTCTTGGTACACCAGCCATCTTACCTCCTACTGCAGAACCCTTCCTACAAAAGGGTATGTCCTGTTGAAAGCAGAAGGTGGTTAGGGTTCTTCTCTAATCATCTTCTCCCTAACCAAATTACCCATACGGATCAGCTGTCTGCTGTGACATCATTGCTACCCAGAGACAAGCAGAGCAAGAGTCCTGGGGGCTGCACTTAAACATTCCTGCCTGAATCTTCTTTCCGGAGGTAGCAAGGGCAGACAGGGCAGCACCCCCATGGTGCCTGCAGCTGATGGTCAGCCTGGCCAGTGGAGAAATCACACCGACTGGCTGGTCAGTCAGCTTGTTACCATGTTTCACTGCCCTCTACACTTCCCCCTCATCTAGACAACTCGAAACTACCAATATAAGGTTGTACTGTAAACAGGTGACACACAAATGGTTGTTTGGCCAGAAAACAAAACAAACATCATCCCAAATGGATCTCCTAGAGGTAGAATCAGAAAATCAAAAATCAAAACAAAAATAAAAAATCCCAGCAAAGGGATTAAAAATAAGGTAGAAGACTAGAATTTCCTGAAACAAAAGCACTTGACATTGATTCAGTCAGGCTCAAAACCTCAAACTGAGGACACAAAACTTAATAAATATTGGTTTTTTGGCATCCATGTTTTCAAAACATTGCAGCCTAACTGATGAATAATCTATGGAAAAATAGGCATCAACTGTCAAGGATATCTCACAAGTCAACCTTACAAACACATTAACCGAGACTTGTTATTTCTTTAAGGGTTCTCAAACTACTTTAAAAAGGGTTCTCAAACTACTTTACTTTAGACTAGACAGCTAGTCTACAAACATCTTTGTCTGTTACTTTATAAAAAGTACTTTTAGCCAAATCTATTTTAACAATGCTAAAAATTTGATATCTGAACATTAAAAAAAAATCAAGTTAAAATGCAGAAAGCAAAAATAAGATGTAGTATATATGAAACATCAAACCAGTTTTGAAGTTAAAACAAAAATCACACTTATGGACATGACAGAAATATTTATACAGAAGTAGGCCATCGGGTGCATTTCCCATTGATGTAAAGAATAAGGGTACTTACCAACCATCGCACTAACTTCCCCGGCCATTAGTGTTTCTACTGTCTCGTTGTATAGGTTCACATCAATGATACCTTTTCGAATGGTCTCTCCCACTTTGGCTCCCAGTAACACTGAGCCAGTGGTTTCAAATATTGAAGCCAAAATGCATGCTTGTCTCAAGGTCACCACGCCAGAGCCCACAGCAGTACCAAATGAATTGGCAACATCGTTTGCACCAACAGAAAACGCCAAGATAAAAGCTATGATAAAACCCAAAATGACCATCCACAAATACTCATCCATGGCCATTTTGGAAAGTGGGCTCCGGGTACTTTTCTTTTGCAGAAATATTTTAAATAAACAAAGCTTGAGGTTATAAACGTCGTAAGGCCGAGAGTTCTTGTAAACAGTGAGTTTGCTCTAGAAAGTGCTGGACAATGTTAGAGCCTGAACAAACTGCTAACTGCTGGTTTTCAAACTACTGTCAGTACAGTTCATTTGGTTGTGTTCAGTCAGTGGTAAAACACATTCCATATTTTTCCTCCCAATCTGGGAAAGCTGTGATGTCTCCTCCTATAACAGAAAAGAAAACAAAGGAAATCAATTACCCTAAGCAACCTGTAACAGTTCGTTCCATCAGAAATAAGTGTTTTAAGCCTACTAATGGGCTCTAACTTTGGCATTTGACAGATCTAACCATAAAGCAACTCAAGGAAGATTATAATTAGGTTAAAGTCTCCCCCCACCCCCCCATGAAAAAAGATGGTTTCTAGAATATCAGAGGGTGACGTATGCTTGAGAATTACAGGTTGACAATAAGCCTTAACAGGATATGACTTTTTGCAATCTGAAAAACATATTTGGTCATTATTTTCAGAAAGAAAAAATTGCTTCAAATGGGTAAAAGATAAAGAAATGAAAAACTCAGTTATAGAGTTTTTCAGATACGTGGAATGTGCCTGATTCTTGGACCGGTGATGACCAAATATTCTGTGACACCACAGGGTGTGGCTAATGACCTGCCTGAACATTTACAGTCAAGAATGAGCACTCTACGAGCACACCGTGCATGTGTCTGAAAGAAGGCTTACAGGTTCTAGTATACAGCGACATATACTTTGTTTACGTCTAGTATAAAGTATACTTTGTCAGAGGCTGACAAAGGTGGAAACCGAAGGCCCCCAGGAGGAAGACAAAAAGCTGCAGAATGAAATGATCCTACTGAAACACGATTCGGATCATCTTACTATTCCCCGACTACCCATCCCTCACTCAGAGGAAAGGCCAGAGGCCTCACCCCACGGCTTGGAAGGCCCTCCACGGTCTCCTGAAGGCCCCGCCCCAGCCCACTGTCCTCAGCTCTGATTGCCCCTTCCTTCACAGGCTCCTTCTTATTCCTTGAAATCACCAAACGCTCTCACCTCTGGGCCTTTGCACCTGCTGATCCCTATGCCAGAAAAGCTCTCCCTGACAGCTGTGTAGCCACTCATGCTATTTAGGTCTCTGCTCAAATGTCACCATCAGAGAGGCCTTCCCTGACCTCGTGAAAGAGCAGCCCCTCCCCCCGATGCCATTATCCACCCCTCTCACCCAACTTTTTGGCTGTTTTACTTATCACTGCATTCGTTCATTCATTCATTCTTATCTGTCTCCTTTCAGGAGGGTGTGGGTACTTTATTTGGTTTCACTGCTCTATCTCCAGGACATTGAATAGTGCCTGGCATGCGGGAAGCCCTAACCAATTTTTTGAATATATGAAAAAAGGGGCTATTAAACATGAAGAAAAGTCCTCTAAGATAAAAAGGCAATGTCACAAAATTAGTATATCCAAGAAGTAAAAATGTCACTAAAAGCTTTGGAACTGTGGTATTCTATTATTATACAGCCAAGGTACAAAATCTGTGTTTTTTTGAATGAATTTTTTAACTTAGGTGCACAGAATGGTGCTTATTACCACAGTGTGGTTCTTCAGAGATGCTTATTGACCTGAACTAGATAAATTAGGTTCATATGTCATGTCACAGACAGTAAAATGATCAATCAACATTAAGATTATTTAGGGGGAAAAACAGGACACTAAATTTTATGTATATTGTGATCATGGTAGTATTAAAATCCATATAAAAAGACGGGCAGGTTAATATACTAAAAATCAGAACAGCGGCTAACTTTGAGTGGCAGGTAGTGTTACAGACAATTTTTTCCTTTCCATCCAAAACTGTAAAGCATGTGTAACATGCTTTTCAAATTAAATAGTTTAAATAAATTAAAATTTAATTTAATTCAAATTAAAATAGTACATAATAAATATTTGGTCATATTGCCATCTATGTATGCAATGCTATAGGAATATAATGAAATAGAAAATAGACACTGACAGATTCTGTCACTTCCTAAGATTTGAAGCCCATGCAATTCTAAAGATTTAGAGCCCCGTGAGACAAATGAAAAGACCATTCTAACGGCAAGGGACAATATCCTACTAAAAGAGTATTTTATTAATATCATGGACACATCAAATCTAGAAGTGAAAATACAAAATAGGAATATTGTGGACCAATACAATCGAATCTTAAAATAGAAATCTTGATGAAATCTTGTTTGTCAGGTTAGCTTGCCAACAGGGCGAACAAGAACAACATTCAACAAGTATTTATTGAGAACCTCCCTTGTGCCAGTCACTAGGAACACGACGATGAGTGAAAATGGATGTGGGGCTCACCGACCTGTGACGGGGGCAGATGCTAACCACGTAAACACACAAATGTACGACCCTTGGCTGTGGTGAGTGCCAAGGAGGCAGGAGGCCCGTGGCCCACGGTGTTGTGAGAGCGCAGTTCTGGGCCAGGACTGGGCCTGTGAGAGCAGGAAAGGCAATCTAGGAAGGGGCAGCGAAGTCTGGGGAGGGGAAGGCATTCCAGACAGCCGGGGTGGGAAGGGGCAATACGGGGGAGGACAGGCAGGCCAGTGTGAGGCAGCGTCTAGCAAGCTGAAGATGGTGGCCACCACACGGTCAGTAGGGTGTCACTGCAGGTTTGTAACCAGAGGGAGGCCCACATGATCAGACTTTCGAGAAGGTCACCGTGGCTACCATGTGCAGAAAGGGCTGGACAGAAGAGGGAACGTGCTGAGACTGATTCAGGGCTACTGTGTGGTGCAGGCAGCCCCCACAGAGGCTCCTGGCCTGGCGTGGCCGTGCCACCGACCAAAGAGAAAGCGCGTTTAAGGAGGTTTCTGGGGCTCAAGCGGTGGTGGCCTATGCGTGGGGACTAAGAGAGACAGATGGTTGCTGGCTGGCAGGACTGGGCTGAGAAACAGCCAAGGGGAGTTTTTATGTTTTCTCCTTTGTATTGTTTCTAGTTTTGTTTTTACACGTTAGGGCGAGGTTCACCCACAGGTTCACTCTAGGACAGGCTGCACACAGAGGTCAAATCCAAGAGCACCAAGGCAGGTATGTCCTCAGCCCAGCGTGGCTTGGAGACGCTTTTAATTGTCTTTATGATACCTTAGGCACCATTTCAGACCAGGACCCCTCTCCTACTCAGATAATCTTAGGTAATTAATTTCTACAACTGTGTCCGTGTTCTTTAATGCAGGTTTTCTCCTTCATATTATGTCCAATTAGCATCTGGTTGAGGAGAACGGCTTTTTTTGAGACCAAATGACTTCTATTTTTTATTCTATTTATAAGATCGGGTTTTTTATGGCAAGGCCCAACACCCTGGTTTTCTCCCTCCTCCATTCGTTTTTATCAAATGGGAGCAAAATAAAAAAAGCACTTCAACAACCGCACGGTCTATTGCTGAAACAGAGCTTGGCACCCCCCACAGGGGGGCCAGGGAGCACGGAGCACAAGGCTGAGACGGGAATCTGTCAGGAGTACAGAAGCCCAAATCCAGAGTGGCTGAGGTCTAGCCGGTGTGTCACCAGACAGTGCTGGCTGTTTGAAAACAGGATGGAGGTGGGCATTCAAGTCCGCGGGGAAAAGGCTGGTTTATTCAACAAGTGATGTTGGGCCAACTTGCTCATAACTACCTGGAAGGAAAAATAAGTTAGATTCCTACCTCCAGCCAAAATGAACTGAAGATTTAAATGTAAAAACTGAAACCTGAAGAAAAGAAGAAAACACAGAGGCAAATAGTTACTTAATATTGGGATGGGGGAGCCTAGACCTGATACTGAAGAATTGACAGCAATGATTCTCAGCGAGGACGCAATGGCATTTAGATCTTCTAGCTAACGCTTTGGTTCTTCTCTCTCTCCTGCAAGGGCTTCTCCGAAAAGGGTCAGGACAAGCCTCCTAACTCTCTTGCCTTCCCGCACTGTATGAAAGCCCCTATATGGCTTCGATTCACAGAACTGAATGTGCCAAGATACTCTTTAATTTTCAAATGCCACTGACCTCTCACATTAGAGGAACAGAGACCTTAGAATGTTCGGAATCACTGGAAGAGGTACTGAGGGGTTCTGTAAGTTCTACCTCCCAAACTTATAAAGTTAACAAGATCCTCACTCTCTTCTCTCGGGGCCCTCGATGCTTCTGAGCAAGCTCCTCAACTCTGAGGCCTGCCCACCATCACTTCTGTCCCTTGATCTCTGAACCAGCCACGCCTCTGTCACCAGGCCCAGTGAGAGCACTGGCAGGACTCCCAAGTCAAGGATTTATAGATTCTCTTTCTAGAATTTCCCTCTGTGAGCATCTGCTTCAGCTCTACCTCATACCCTCTTATCTACACTAGAAATCTGAATGTTGAAGAAAAAGTGAAAACATATTCTCAGAATATTTCTAGATGAATTTGTACATAGTTTAAAAATAGGGACGTGGCTGAGCTATAGCACTTAATAGACATTAATTAAAAAAAAAAAAAAGCTTGGTTGGGAGGCTTCCAGTTCTGAAACGTTGCTAAAGGTAACATCCAAGATGACCCTTGGCCTTCTCAAGCAAACGTGCCAAGAGGATGCCTGTTGCAAACCTCCATCCGCCCTCCTCTCTCTCTCAGCCTTGAAGTCCCATCAGCCCCTCAGCGGGCACAACCCATCCCAGACAATCAGGTCTGGAGTGGACTTTGGCTTAATTCGGACTCCTTCCCAGGGACCTTGTGGTTTTAAAGGCCTAGCCCACAGACAGCCTCCCTTCCTCCTGTTTGCTTCTGGCCTATGCTGTGCTGTCCCTGAGATTTCATGGACTGCACCCAGGCCAAGATCCCCCAACAACAGGTGAGGGGAAGGAGCCAGGTCCTCCATACAGAGGACCCTGGTGCTCTGAAATAATTTCCCAACACCTCACTTAAACCCAAAGTTGGGGCACCTGGGTGGCTCAGTGTTAAACCTCTGCCTTCGGCTCAGGTCGTGCTCTCAGGGTCCTGGGATCGAGCCCTGAATCAAGCTCTCTGCTCAGCAGGAAGCCTGCTTCGCCCTCTCTCTCTGCCTGCTACTCTGCCTACTTGTGATCTCTCTGTCAAATAAATAAATAAAATCTTAAAAAAAAAAAACAACCATAACCAAAAGTGACTCACACCTACCCTCTAGAAATGTAAAACCTATTTTCCTAAAAGTTAGGGTTGAATCTTGAC